TAGTATTATTGAGTTACCTTATACTTTTTTCTGTAGATATCTGAAACGGTGGCGTGAGTTAGAATAACATTGTGACCAACAATGTAAGGCTCGGTAGATGAGTTTCCAGAGCGACAAGTGAGCTTAAAGAGAATAGAGCAACGGCCTGGAGCTTGTAGACCAACATCATATCCTTGTATCGCGAATGTGTGTGGCTCGTTGAACGTGATCCAGTGTTTAACTCTATCTCCAAATCTTTGGAAACAAACCTCTGCATAAGCTGCAAAATCATTTCTGCCAAAAAAACACATAATATGGCCTTTTAACCTTTTGAAAATCATTTCTGTCTATGTAGTAGATTTATTCAAAATTTTATATGGCATTTTTTGTATGGATCGTTACATTATTTGCGAGTTTAGCCAACCGAGGTATCGATCATGGAGTGCCTGAGGAAGGTCCCAATGGTACAACGTCACATACGGTTCAATTCCTACAATTGTGCTCGTTATAGTACATGTGAAACTCAACCAACAACAATTTCAATAAAAACCATATTCAGTGAAGATTGATGTTCACTACCTTTAGCAAGTAAAGCATTTATGAGTTTGTTGTAGTGATCGATTCCTGCCTCGTTTATTTGTCCCACACCATCTGTAAACCACACATAATATCATTCTTACACTTATTAATCTATCAAAAAGGATCATCTATTTATTCAATCTAAAGTATATAAAATATTGATGAAATGGGTAAAAAACGTACTCGGAAAAATTCGAGCCCACGAAATGGAAAACCTGTAAGCGTCCATTCCCATATTCTTCATGAGTTGTACATCTTCCTGCCCTCACCATTTTGTAGTTTCAGTTAAATCATTACTTCATGTGATTTTTCGTATATATGCATGGACAATTTATTTGGTTTATATTAATCAATCGGGTTTACCTCGTACCGGTGGTACTGATCAACAGCAACATCGGCGTTGCTAAAATCAGAGATCTTCCCAAAAGTGTGGGAGAACGTGTCCCATATCGTAGGACCTCTTCCATCTTCCTTTACTGCTCCCTCGTGCTGCACCAATGATTTGATGTCCATTAGTTATTTGTATTAGTATAAGCCAGAAAAATGTACTATATTAACGTTTTCTTATAATCCGAGAAAAGAGAAAACTTAAGGGATACAATTGTGAAATGTGTAAATGAACGGGTCGTTACTTGAAAAGACCTAAAGTTTTGGAAAAAAAATAACAGAATCCACAAGAAAAAGAGAAGGATATATTGGATGCGCTCGTGATTCATGAATGTATGTGGCCTTGGTTACACCTCACGCATTCGTTTGTACATTTATGGACCATATTAAAAAGAACAAATACAATACTTATTCGTCTAAATATAAAAAAAAAACTGTGATATATAAATTCAAATGGTAGGTATGTTATTAAACTAGATTATGATGATGCCAGAAAATGTTACCACGTATTTATAAAGGAAGCTTAAGTCTTTCCAGATAAGGAACTTTCTCTTCATTAGTGTTAATTAGATAAAGATGTTTTAGTATTGTTACTAACTACCATGACGTATATGTCGAATTATATTTTTAAGTTTTTTATCGTTACTGAAAGAACAAAAACATATCACATAGGGAACGTATATGTTCTGATGCGACCTAATTTTAGGTAGTGAACAATATTGGTTTTGGATTCCACCAAAGAGAATAGATAAAAACAAAAAAAAAGAATAAATAAATAAAATAGAAGAAAAAAAGAGAGTGGAGAGGAGAGGGGACCTGAAAAGCAGAAGAAGCAGTTCCAAAGACGAAGCCCTTTGGGAAACTGCCTCTGGATATGTCTTCAGCACATATGCATGTCTTATCCATCATCATCACCATCATCACAATTATGGTCATCTTCATCATGGTTAATCTTCTTGGCGCTATCTCTTTCTTCATCTTTTCTTCTTACATATATTTTGTGTGTATATCGCACTTTCTTTTCTAGATAACGAAGATGGAAGTTAGAGAGACCGAGACGAAACAAGGAGAGAGCGTGAGTGGAAAAATAAAGCTAGGAAAGGGGTGCTATATATAGGAAAGGAGGAAAAGTGAGAGATATGAAATCTTTGGATAAGATGCCAATAATAAAAGTAAACAAATAGTATAAGTATTTTGATTAAAAAAACAAAATGGGAAACTGAATAATCTTTTTATCTTATAGAATTAGTTATATGGTGGATGAACAATCTTTTGTCATAATTTTTAGTTATTTTACTAATTACTATTAAAAAAGTTTTATATAGTAACATAAGTATTATTAGGCAAATTGAGGGTCTGTTCAATATTATTTATGTAATCTTTATACATTTTACATCTATTTTTGCTATTTTTGTCAAAGAATCTATTTTTTGCTATTATACTTTGATAAGATCTTAATGGTAAGATATATATTATATTCTAACCAATTATAAAAAATGAAAAAGATAGGTGTTTTGGTATAGATGCACTTATGAATAAATATTAATAAATATATTATAATCACAGTTGTCAATAAAAGATTAAAAAGTAGACCTACAAAAATGGAAACTGAATAATCTTTTTATGTTATAGAATTAGTTATATGGTGGATGAAATATCTTTTGTCATAACTTTAGTTATTATAGTAATTACTAAGAAATTTATCTAGTAACACAAAAGTATTATTCGGCAAATTGGGGATTTATTCAATATTATTTATGTAATCTTTTATAAATTAAGCATCTCATTTTGCTATTTTTGTCAAATAAATTATTTTTTGCTATTTTACTTTTATAAGATCTTAATGATTAGATATATAATATATATTCTAACCAATAAAATGATTTTAATAGAGTCTGATTTATGCTGATGACAAAAAAAAAATCAATAAAACAGAAAAAGATAGGTGTTTTGATATGGATGCACTTATGACTAAATATTATTTATTTAGTTAATTTTAATGTAGTCGAAACAAAGTGCAGATAAACACATTATATTTGCTCCTTTTAAACCCACATCCTAGAACTTTCTCTCTTATCTATAAACTCATATATATAAGCAAATAATATTTTTTTAACTAAATTTTTTATTATTCTGCAACGAGAGAGAAATGATAAATCATTCGTAGCACGGATTTTGGAAGGAGACTATTTAAGAAGCAGCCATGTACAAATGATTTATCAGCCATTTAGAGTTTTGCTACTGATTGATTAGCTGTTTCTTGTCAATTTCTTTTGTTTTGCTACAATCTTACATCTTTTTATAGTAAATTTAACCAATGCAGCTAACCTCTAAAGTACGTCACAACAACAATGTTTCTTGTCAATTTTTGCTTGTGTAAATTTGTGAGGTTTTTTATATGCCCCCAACAACCTATAAATGTATTTTATGTTCACTTTAAAAAAAGGTAAGTAGTAATACAGTTTTATGTTGATGAATCTCTGGTTTGAAAGACTACCAATAATATTTTTAGTATTAATCAGAAGCAATTTAATATTCTAGTTCTAAATGATCAGCACCATTCCCTTTATGCGTGTGTTTTTGTTTGTCTTTTTGGTACATACAAGCACTTTATGAAAAAAATTACTTGTGGATATTTAATATAAATAAAAACAATATAACTTAAATATTGAAACTATAGAAAAATATCAAAATATTTGATATTTTTAGTGAAAATAGTCAGTACTATTATCTCTATATATTTATTTTTGTTAAACATATAAAACTGAGAGAATCCAGTGGAGGATTCACAAATAGGAATACAACTTACAAATGCTTAATTTCTTATTTTGAAGTTCTCACCACACGACACAAGTAATCGAATTATTTGCTTCTACACAATGCTTTCTTTAATAGAAAATGGTGGATGGGAGATTGGGGAGTTGCGTAATCATACGTGCCTTAACTATCATTACATGTACATTATATGCGTTTGTTGGATACACACTAACAAGTCAACGACCTCCAAAACCCTCTTGTCTCTTCTCTTTTTTCCTCTGCGGATGCAATTAGTCTTTACCCATTTACGAACGCGTTCACATTCCTATGCGTTTGTGTAGCTTAACACATGTGTTCACATTCCTATGCTACACTGTTTATGGTAGAGCTGGACAAAATATCCGTAAATTTTGATTCAATTTGTTATCCGTTTCGATTCGAACCGAAAAATATGAATATCCGTAACTCTACGAAGCAAAACAAATACTAAAATGTGATATCCGTAAGAGACGAAGCAAATAACAAATACTAATATTTTTAGGAACGAATATCCGATCCGATCCGTTATATACATATATATATATATACATATATTTAAAGAAGTATATATAGAAGTTATATAAATATTATATTTTATTTATATTTTACAAGATTTTTATTTATTAAATTTATTATATTAGTTATTAGAATTTTTAAAATTAATTAAATTTTATTTTTGTAATAAAATATTATTATTTTCTATTATTTTGGATATTTATTTATTTTTAAAAATTTTATTTTATTTTTACGGATCAAATCGAATATCCGGTAAAATTCTAAAATTTTCTAGATATCCGAGATGGCGAATATCTGAAGGACTACGGATCAAAATCGAATCGGATAATTAATTATTCGAACGAAACGGATTGGATCAATATATCCGAATACCCGGATATTTGCTTCATGCCCACTCCTAGTTAATGGTTGATGGACGATATAACAATGGATGGACTCGTTCTATTGAGCTAGGTATGAATATGATCACTCGTTCAACAATAGACAAGCTATAGATTTAATAGCTTCTCAGAGTCATTTCAGAGATGAGCTCTTACTTTGTTTGCAACACCAAAAACGAGTCACATAACCTTGCGAAATTCTTTATTCAAAACGACAGAAGATTTGTTAACAATTTGTCGCAAATATTCTGGCCAAAGAAGAACAAAGGGTGTGTGTGTTTATATATAGGTTACAATAATAACTAGCAAGTGGCTTCCACAAGACTAGAGCAGAGCAGAGTAGAACAGAGGTGTCATGATCTCTCAGTTTTTCCTTCCTTCCGACAAGATGATGTGGTATCCGTGCCTGCAATCACATCATTATCACATTCATCATCCACTAAACAAAGAGCCATTAAAAAACGGGAATGAAGAAAGAAGAGAGAAAATGTTAGTAGTCATACGTGGATTTGAAAGGTGCACTAGTGACACCAACAGGTGTGTTGAAGGCAACATCTTGGAAGGGACCAGCCATCTTTCCTCTAGGGAACCATCCAAGATCTCCTCCTTTTTTCCCTGATGGGCACTCCGAGTACTCTGCTGCAATCTGAGATAATCCACGCACAACAAAACATATGTTTTGAGATTCCCAACAATACATTACACACACAAGTATGCACATTTAGGTACCCGAAAACTGAAACTCGCAGGTATCTCTAAGTATCAATGAACTATGGAGGTGTTGAAATGATACTTGCACTATATCTCAGATCGGATGTTTCAGTTCAACAACAAAAGAAAAGGAGCAAATATCGGAACTTTCACCTTTGCAAATTCAGCAGGAGGAACCTTGTCTCCATTACTCAACCAACCATCCTGCAACTTTTTGTATGCCTCATTGATCTTTCCTTGCTTTTCACACAAAACATGTCTCGCTGAAAACAAAAACCAAACCAATGCAGTGTTGACAAAATGCTATTTTACTACAAATGTCACAAGTTGTGTATTATAGTCAGATGAACTGAACCTTTGACATAAGTGCATGTTCCAAGACCATCAGCAGCTTTTCCAGCTTTGCCTTTACCCTTAGAGGATGCTGCTTCATCACTGCCACCTGCTTGCTTTCCCTTACCCTTCCCACCAGCTTTAGCGTCTTTCCCCATCTCCAAAAACTCTGCAATAAAACAATCCATTTATTACCATCATCAAGTTTCACGGTGGTTTTTAACATCACACACGTCTTGTAAAACCCTAAAAGCCCTAAACCCTGAAACAAGCACACACCAGAGATTCAGCGCTACCCAAAAATGCAAGTGACTTGGAATGTTTAGGTGTCTAAATTAGTGAGAAATTGCTTAAAGGACGGACCTTTGAGGCATTAAATCGAACACTTGGTGAGCCCAGATCAATCAAATACACAAGGGTTACGTCACAAACAAGATTTTTCAGATTAAATACGAGGAGCTCAAGTAGAATCGGTGGATTAACGATAGAGTTATATCTCAAAAGGAAAAACAAAACCCATCTTCCCCCATCAAAGGGGCTGTAAGAGCAGAGGACGAGGACTTTACCTTGAGGTTCTTCTTTTCTCCCACGGAGCAAAGAGTGAGAGAGAGAGTATTGTTCTAGATGAAGATCTAATATATCTTTCTCAAGGAATATAGCCCACTTTATTGTTGTGGGCTCGGCCCATTTACGAGGCTCTGGATTAGACGGAATAGATTTTTGAAAAAGTGTGGATTTGTTTTATATACAAACTAGATTTTGACCCGCGCTTTAAAAGCGCGGGATTTGTTCTTTATCAAAGTCAGATTCAAAAATAATATTATAATGATAATATAAACAGTATTTTGAAATCAAAGAGAAGCCGATTAACCAGATCGGACCAATCTGTCTCTAAACTAACCGAATCCAAATTGAGCTAATAATCGGTTTTGAATTAAATAAAATATTGTGCCAACACCGGTTAACCATAACACCTAGTTCAGCTTCAACCGAATACAAAACATAATTGGTTTAATTTGGATATATAAATAATATGAAGAATTTAAAATTTATTTGGACTGTTTACATATATACAATAGAAATTTTGTCAAGTAATAAACACTGTAAATTATTAATTTTTTCGCTCCTGAGATACAAATCGATAAAATAATAAGTTAATATTTTTCGAAACTCCTATGTAAATATATGGTCACATTATAATCATAAATCAATAGTTATATATAGTTTATAAAAGTAGAAAAAAATATATTGTATTTTCTATTCACAATAAAATTCATCACTGTTTTTAATACCTTAATATATTTTTGGTGACATTTAGTAAAATTATATCTAATATAAATTTTTAATTTTATGGAACATATTTCATATACAAAAAATAATATAATTAAAATAATAGAAGAGTATTTTTAAAAAAGAATTCAGCTATTGTATATTCGGTAAAATCTAAAAAAAGTTTTGAAATTAATAACTCTATAAATTAATAAAATAACAGAATCGTAACATTATTAATTTATAGAGTTTTTATTATACTTTGAATTTTCTTTACTAATGGACCGCTGATTTAAAGGGCATGTAATTTGATATATTTTGAAGATTTAACAATATTTATAAACAGTGAATTTAATGATATTTATTGTTAGCACGAGTTATTTGTTATATAGCTAAATTTTTATATACGAAAAATCGGTATCTAGATATAATGAAAATTATGTAAGGTTTTCAATTTATTTTGAAATAAATGTAGTTTCTATATTTGGAAGAAATTTGGATACTCCCCTTTTTGATATCTATAATATATTTTCAAAATGAATTGAAAATAAAAATCTGGGTTGATAACTGAAATTTAAATTGATTGTTCATGTTGTTATAATTTAGTTCAGATGGTTAATCAAAATATGGTTAGTATAAAAGTAAAAATCATAAACCAGTAACAAAATATATTTTGTTTAAGGTATTAGGTGAAAAACAAAATATTGAAGCTACATATATTGTTATTTTAAAGTTTTATTTTAAGTAGTTGTCTAAAGTATTACAAAATTTAGAACTATCTATTATTTATCAATAGAGAATTTGGCAATATGTTTTAGGGTTTAGACTTTCTGTTTAGAATTATGGCTTTAGGGTTTTGTTTATATTTGAACATAATAATGATTCTTCATATTATAGTATATTTGTTACATTATACTAACAATTATTGTTTTTCTAAACTCTGTATTGAAAAGCACTGCTCAATATAAATTGTTAGGTAAGAAACAATATTTTCTTAATGTTTCTATATTTTAAATAACCAAAGGTGAGTTAGTAAACAATCCTTCATATTTCAGTATATTTTAATATATATATATATATATGAAAGTTGATTAGCTTTGTTTGTTTGGCCGTAATGGGATGCGTGCATTAAGTAGTCATATATATTTTTATTTAAGGTGAATATAGATCCTACTATTTTGGTAAGTAATAATAATTTCTTTTATTTTCAATTAAAATTTAAATGTAATGGCATGAAGTTGTAATTGTTTAGGAAAAGTGAGGGTTATTTTCTATTTGTACTTCTCCTTTAATAGTTTAGATGGATATAAAAAATTTTGTTTTGATGATATAAAATGTTACATGATCAAAATCGAATTTCAATTATGCTGGTTTGAAGAAAGATTTAAAAAGTGCAGATATTTTTTTGTTGACTGTAAAGTCAAATATTAAATAAATTTATAACTGTTATTATATATCTATAATATTTAAGAGCTGTTCTATTATTACTATTCAGGTTGGTACAATGTTTTCATTGAATTTTCATATATGAGTGAGACTTATTGGTCCATTTGTTGATATATTAATAAAAAATTGACTTAGATAAAAATAAATATTTTTGTACATAACATTTGATCATGATTTTTCAAATTAATCACAAAAAATTGGGCCATTTAATTGTTAAATATACAATCTTTCTCAAGTACATATTTCAGGTACAACTATTGTTATCTTATTTAGAAACATAAAAAAAAAAATTGTCTGAGACTTTGTAAAATAAAAAATTTCTTCGCATAATAACTTGATCTTGATTTGTGACATTTTATTTTATCAAAGCAAAAGACTTATCAATCAATCTGTAGATAAAATAACAAAAATAGTATTTTGAGACAAATATTTTATTATTAGAAATTTACATTATTTTTAATCTGAATGTACAACAACAACATATCAGTTTCGACGTTATTTACAATATCCTAGTGCAATATTCACAATTTCCACAAAGAGATTGTATTCGTGCATTAAGGCTGATGAGCATTATTTTTTCAAGAATATTCAAAAGTATTTTGAAAGAAAATGAGCCTGTTAATCAAATCCATTAAATAGATATTGACTGTAGTTAATTATATAGTTTTATGCCTAAAAACAAAAGACAATAATGCCATTAATGAAAAGTTTAATTTGTTCATAACATTAATGGTAATTTTAGAAAACATAAATATTTCATTAAAGAGAATGATCCCCTTTAGTGGTATTGATTTTAGGGCTCTAAAGAAAGTAAGAAAGGTTAGAGAGATTCATTCATATTCTCCGTTCATGAATTTTTAAAATTAATACTTCCTCCGTTTCATATTAAGTGTCGTCGTAGAGATTTTTTTGCGTTACAAAATAAGTGTCGTTTTCGGTTTTCAATGCAAAATTTATTAATTTTATTATGTAATTTGTTTTTCTATTGGTTAAAACATGGTTAGGTGTATGGGTAACTGTGTTTTTATATAGGAAATATGTAAAATTAATTGTTTTCTTAATCCGTGTGCACAGCTGTAGAGTGACACTTATAATGAAACAGAGGGAGTAGATTTTAAAAATTATGTGGATTATGAAACATATAATATATATATAGTAAATTAATAAAGTTTGATCATAATTTCTTCAGATTTTTATGAATTCGTATTACTTTTTTCTATCATTCATTTGTAAAGTAAATACACGATTTATATTTATCTAAATTTTTCTTAAAAATATTTTTTTAATATATCATGATTATTTGTTTATTTTGAAAAACATATTTTTAATATGATAAATTTTATATTATATTATATTAACAAACTTAACTACATTATGTTTGCTTATAAAACACATTTTTGATATGATAAATTTTATATTATATTAACAAATTTAACTACATTATGTTAACAAATTTTATGGTTGGCATTTAAATCTGTTCTTTAAATCTTTCATTAAGTTAGATTTTAGGATTTTTATTCATTTAATACTAATTAATATAACAATCACATTCCATTGTAAATAATAGAAAAAAAATCCTAATAGAGATTATATTTTAATAGTATAGATAGAGATTTGTTAAGTATAATAAACAATAATACTTAATTTTAGTAAAATATTTAAAATCAGTTATTAAATAATAATGGATTGCAAAATGAAAAGTGCTGTAATAATCTCTTATTTATAACAAAATTTGAAGACAACTAATGATGCAATCAGATAACAAATAAAATGGCTCTGTTAATACCTGGCTTGCTCAATGAGGTAGCAGAGTTGTGTCTCTCGCGAGTCCCGCGCTCTGAGTTTCGGACCATTTCTCAGGTGTGCTGGCGATGGAGGAGATTCCTCAGAAGCGAGCATTTTGCGACCGTCCGAAAGATGACTGGATCGGTTGAGGAGTTCATGTGTGTTCTAGTGGATGATATATACTGGGAAGTTTTCGACGGTTCTGGTAACAAACTGGGACGGATCCCTCCCGTCCCTGGGCCTTTGAAGTGCGGTCATGGCCTCATGGTGCTAGATGGTAGAAAGATCGTGTACTTTGGCGGAAAATATAATATCCGACGACCGGAGGCCCGAGGATTGAAGGTCCGAGAATCTGCGTTCTCTAACGCTGTGTCGGCCAATGTTTACGAGTTCAATCCTGCTACCAACAGGTCTGAATCTGTCTGATCAATTTTTACATTACTTACATCAGGATTCTTGAGGATTTTTAGTTGTTTTTATCAAGTTACATGAGTTTTTAACCAAAAACTAATTTGTGATAATTGGATTAGTCTATCTATTATACGAGGTCTCACCCAACTTCGTTGGAGACTTTGTCTCTAATAGTTTTCTTATTTGATAGAAACAGGTGGAGAAATCTGGCCAAAATGAACATACCACGTCACCGCTTTGCATATGCTATAGTAGACGGCCTTTTGTATGTGATCCGAGGCTATTCCGCAGATGATGTTAGCATTCTAAACTCTGAAGTATACAACCCAAAAAATAACAAATGGAGCCTCATGGATTGTCCATACCGTCCCGGCTTTCGTGGCTTCGCATTCTCCTTCAATTCAAAACTATTCGTCGTAGGTGGGAATAATACGAGTTGTGCATAAATTATATAGATTCCGAGTTAATCTTTGTTACATGATTTGATGATCATCATTATTTTCAGGCAATGGATCAAGGTTCATTGACATATATGATCCCAAAACGGAGATATGGGAAGAGTTAGACTCCGGGCAAATATTGTCGGTGTATTCGTACACTGTTGTTAGGAACAAAGTGTATTTCTTGAACATGAACATGCCCGAAATGGGAGTGTTTGATCCAGAGAAGAATTCTTGGAGATATGTGTCTGTGCCTCAGGGTCATTTTAGGTTAAGTCTAGGGAAATGGAACAATAGGATTATCCTGTTTTCACAAATATATAGGGCTGTTAGCTGTGACCTTGAAAAAGAGGACGTGGCCGAGTGGAGATGCACACCGATTATACTATCTGGTTATGATGCCACCAGCGTTCTCATCAGCATTTGATTTTTCAAAATGTATTTAACGTTTTGGGGTTGTCAGTTTGGTGTTATTATCAATGATTCATTTATCTATTCTATTAAAATAGAAGTCATAATTTGTTTCATGTCTGGAATTTTCATTTAGATAATTCTTAATAACAGTTATTTAATTTTACAAAATTTAAGTTTAATATTGATATCACTCAAATTACTTTATAAGCAATTTTAGTCTCTCAAATAAGAGGTTCAACTTTAAATCAGTAGTTTCTAACCATCATAGCTCAGTAGAATTATTATCTAATATAGAACCAAATGGTGTGGTTGTTTATATCCTTATTTCAGGAGTCTAATTAGCTACTTTAGAACACAAACAATAAGACCAATTTAATGAATGATCCTTATTCTAATGAACCCATCTTCCCCCATCAAAGGGGCTGTAAGAGCAGAGGACGAGGACTTTACCTTGAGGTTCTTCTTCTCTCTCGGATTGAACGATCGAGCAAAGAGTGAGAGAGAGTATTGTTCTAGATGAAGATCTAATATATCTTTCTCAAGGAATATAGCCCACTTTATTGTTGTGGGCTCGGCCCATTTACGAGGCTCTGATTGAATTTTATATTAAAGTATATAAAAGGTTAGGGAGATTTATTTAGAGAAAACAACCATTAAAACCTTGAACTTTCAAATTAAAACCAATAAAATCTCTAATTCTTGTTTGAGCCAAAAAAATCTCCAATTTTGATGTTTTAGCTCTTATATTTTGTTGGTTCAGCCACTTAAGAAATCTAAATAGTCAACTGTTAAATTTGATTGAAAAATAGATGTATGTTAACTCTTTAAACAAAATTATTGCAAAAAAACTAATTAAATATTAATCAAACAAAACCGTTTTGCTTTTAAAAACACATAAACATCTTTTTCGCGAGCCAAAACTCCATAATTTTTGAGTGAAGAAGATGAAGTCGATTTGAGACTTTGATTTTGGGAAAGAGATATTTTAATTGTTTGAAGAAGTAAAACTATGTCGTTTGATTATTTTTTTTAAACAACATCGTTTCGAAAGTTAACATTCATCTATTTTTATAATCGAGTTTAACAATTGACTATTTAGATTTCGTAAATGGCCTAGTCAACAAAATCAACAAAATATGAGAGTTAAAATAACCAATATTTGAAAATTGCAGATTTTGTTGGCTCAAACATGAGTTGGAGGTTTTATTGGCTTTAATTTGAAAGTTCAAGATTTTAATCGCACTTTCTCCGATTAATTTATGTAGAGTTCATAAATTTTTAAAGTTATGTGAATTATGAAATATATATATATATATATATATATATATATATATATATATATATATATATTTCGCACACTTTCGGCCCCGACATGCTCGCACCCTTTCGGTCCCGAACTGTTAACACCCTTTCGGTTCCGAACCGTTCGCACCCGTTCGGCCCGACACGTTCACACCCTTTCGGTCCTGACACGTTTGCACCCTCTCGGTCCCAACATGTACGTACTCTTTCGGTCCCGACACGTTCACACTTTTTTGGTGTCCCGACATGTTCGCACCCTTTCGGTCCCGCAACGTTCGCACTTTTTCGGTCCTGAACCGTTCGCACCCTTTCGGTCCTAAACCATTTGCACCCTTTCGGTCCCGACATGTTCGCACCCTTTCGGTCCCGACATGTTCGCACCCTTTCCGTCCCGATACGTTTGCACCCTTTCGGTCCCAACACATTCACACTCTTTCGGTCCCGACACGTTCGCACCCTTTCGGTCCCAACACGTTCGTACTCTTTCGGTCCCGACACGTTCACACTTTTTTGGTGTCTCGACATGTTCGCACCCTTTCAGTCCCGACACGTTCACACTTTTTCGGTCCTGAACCGTTCGCACCCTTTCGGTCCTAAACCGTCGCACCCTTTCGGTCCCGACATGTTCGCACCCTTTCCGTCCCGATACGTTTGCACCCTTTCGATCCTGATACGTTCGCATCTTGAAAGAAGAGTTGTCAAATATTTGATGACATCAACAATCTTTCCATAGAGTATTTTTAATCCGTTAGATTTTAGAAGGGAAAATAGCATAAAAAACTTTTAAATTGGCACTCAATAGCACTTTAAACCTTGAACTTATTTAACTAGCATATTAAACCTTCAACTTGGTTTTTGTATCACAAAAGACCTTCAACTTGGCGTACTTGTTCTTCAAGTTAAAATTCTCACTTGTTAACCTGCAATAGTAGTTCATATGTTGATTTTTTTATTTAATTTAATTAATAAATGCAATTAACAATAAAAAACCTAAATAAAATTACGAAAAATTACAGAAAATATTCTAAAATTGAAATTATCAAAAATCAAAATATTTTATTAAAATTTCAAAGTTTTTAATTTGAAAATTTTGCAAACTAAATTTTGTTTTTAAAAAAATTCATCTAAAAGCTATAAAATTTTCTCACAAAATTTTTTTTTTTAAACATTATCACCATTGACTTGAACACTCTTTGTCATATCATTATTAAGAATAACATATTTGGTTATATCGATAATGATAATTATTAAGAATAACATATTTGGTCATATCATTATTAAGAATAACATATTATTATTGTTTAAAAATAATAATTTTAAACATTATCACCATTGACTTGAACACTCTTTGTCATATCATTATTAAGAATAACATATTTGGTTATATCGATAATGATAATAGTGTCAAAATGATTGTTATTTGTATATAAGAAATTATCATCATTAAAGATATCAACAAAATTGAACTCTTTAAAATTTAGAAAACATTATTATTAATTGTGATATGACGAAAAGTGTTTATTTTACTGGTGGTATATCCTCATTATTTTTAAAAAAAATAAAATTTTAAAGATTTATATAATTTTATAAACAAATTAGATTCATATTTAAAAAAATCATTTAGAATAAAAATAAACACTTGTAAATTCTTAAGAAAATATTTTGATTTTTAAATTAATATTTTTGAATTTTTATGAATTAAAAAAACTTTTTTTTTGCAAAACTTACATTTTAAAAAAAAATTAAGAAGATATTTTGATTTTTGTATTAAATTCAAGTTTAGAATTTTTTCTGCAATTTTCTAATTTTAATTAGTTTTTTATTGTTAAATGTATTTATTAATTAAATAAAATAAAAAAATCAACATGTGACCTACTATTACAAGTCAAGAGATCATAATTTTAATTTGATGAATAAGTAAGCCAGGTTTCTGTGATACAAAAACCAAGTTGAATGTTGAATTTGCTAGCTAAATAAATTCAAGGTTTAAAGTGTTAGTGAGTGTCACTTTGAATATTTTTTATGCTATTTTCTCGAATTTAAAATCAAATATTTTTTGATAGTTAGATTGAATTTTTTTTCCTTATAAAAAAATGATGATGTCAAAAGTAGTTTACTACTGTATTATATATAAATATAAACTCTCAAATAGTAATGAAATTTGTTTTTACCAAGCTTTTTTTATAAAATGTTTCAAACCTGCGTAATTTCAGATCCGGCCTGGAGTTGCAATGACTTTACAATAAACCATCCAGTGCTCTCGCTGCCTTTTCAATAAAGCGCCAGTTTCTTTTCCAAAGTTGTGTTTTTCTAATTGTGTTGAAGAAGCTCCCTAGTAGACTAGTAATCATAACATGTTACTATATAAATACTCCAATTTTCTTGTTATAGTTTGACGTGTCTTTTAAGGAGAAAGAAAAACCTTTCAAAAAGGAGACATCCAATTTTCAACAGAGAAAAAAAGGATCTCGCTTTAGATTTGGTCGGCCTGGAAAGTTTCGCAGAAATTACAATGGTTTGTCTGTTTCTTATTTCATATACTGCACTACTTTTCCTCTCTTAGTTTTTTTCCTTGGTAAAGTTATTCTATTATTTCTTTTCTTCTACTTCAGGCCAATGGCTGAGAGATTGCCATTGATCATGTTCTTCCTTGTTTCACATTTATTTATCTTAGGTATGTTGTTTGTATACGAACTTTCCTTGCTTAATTAGTTATCACTTATCATCATATCATGATATATATTTTTAATATGCAGGAGTAACATCGAGGAACATTACAATAGTGAACAAATGCGAATTCACTGTGTGGCCAGGGATCCAAACAACCTCTGCTGATTATCCGTTCAACATCTCTGGCTTCGTTCTCAAGAACGGAGAGAGTCGTGAAATCAACCCACCATCTACATGGAAAGGTCGTATCTGGGGTAGGTCACGATGCTTAACCAACACAACGGGAAGTTTCTCATGCCAAACCGGAGACTGCAACTCTGGAGAAATCGAGTGCTTGGGAAACGCAGGCACACCTTCTCTCACTCTAGCCAAGTTTAACTTCAACAATTCTCACGGCATGAATAATAATGATAGCTATGAAGTTAGTGTCATTCAGGGTTATAACCTACCAATGCTGATTTCCCCACAAAATGAGCTGACATGTAGCAGCATTGATTGCATGGCTGTGACTAATAAATACTATCCTCGGCTACTAATTAATTTCGCCAATTGGTTGGGATCAGATCAACGCTTGTACAAAATTCAATTTGCCTCAGATCTGCTGCGGGAGCAACGACAGCCCTAATAACAATTATGCCTCTGCCGAAAAATGCCAAGTGACGGTTGACCCGCGGTCAGACTATCTCAACGAGGAATGCCGCCGAAATGCTCTTAACTACGTTGACAAAGCCAACCCCTTTGAAATGCACAAGCTCCGCTGGCTATCTTATCACTTTTTGCCCCTCAAGTACAACCAAGTAAAATTTCAGCAGTATATTTCTCCTCATTTCATTAGTGAGTACTATTTAATGTTAGTCAACATATCTCACTAGTCCACATTAATAAATTTAAGAGATGGATTTTAGAAATAGTATTAGAGTATATATATTTGAGAATGATCAAAGTTGAAATGGACCATATCTTGGATATATGTGTTTCCACAGTAACACAAATGAGTTTGCTACCATTTTTTTTTTTTTTGTAAACTGATGTGATTATGTTACATGTTCGAGAAGCAACAACAAGGAGGACGCGTTGGCTCCGTCTCCCTCTCCAGCATCAAATAAGCATGGTCAGAGGCGTAGTAGGTAAGTGAATCCATCGTTTCAGTCAGTTTTCGTCAGAGATTTTGTTTTACTATAAAAAAAAAGCATGAAAAGGGCTGGATCGTTAATCTTGTGCAGGACATCTGAAATTATCGAGTAAACAAACCCAAATCGCGAGTTGAATGTGCATGAATCATAAAAATATTTGGAGATGCGGGGGATCGAACCCCGTGCCTCTCGCATGCAAAGCGAGCGCTCTACCATTTGAGCTACATCCCCTTTTGATATACGTATTATTATATAAACTAAATATCCAAACAATAACGTCCTAAGACAGCGAAAAGTTCGTTAAGTTGGTTACAAATAATCGCGAGGCAAAACCCAAGAATTACGCAAACACTTAGGATCTAAAGGTTGAGATTCAGTCTTCTTCCGCCATTCACGTACCATCTTCAAACCTCTTATTATATATTACACCATAGGAAAAAATCACAAAAAAAAAGAAAGAAAAAAAAACAAACCCAACAAAACTCAAGACCTCTGTTTCCGACACAATGTCATCAGAATCCGACAAAGAGAGAGAGACATTCGTCTACTTGGCTAAGCTCTCCGAACAAGCCGAGCGATATGACGGTATGTAGTCTCATTCTCATATGTTAATAAAATAACATCTTAATTTGTCAAGTTAAAAAAACGTTTGATAATAATTTTGGCAGAGATGGTGGAAACGATGAAGAAAGTGGCGAAGGTGGACAGCGAGCTAACTGTTGAGGAGAGGAATCTGTTGTCTGTTGGTTACAAGAACGTGATCGGAGCAAGACGTGCCTCGTGGAGGATAATGTCTTCTATTGAGCAGAAGGAAGAGTCCAAAGGCAACGAAACAAACGTGAAACATATCAAGGGATATCGCCAAAAGGTAGAAGACGAGCTTGCTGACATCTGTCGGGATATTCTCAGCATCATTGATCAGCATCTCATCCCTCATGCTACCTCAGGAGAAGCCACCGTTTTTTATTACAAGATGTAAGTAACAAATAAAAACACACTTCAGGACAAGTACTAAATAATTTTTTTTAAAATATATATAATGTATTGAACATTTAGGCCCTAATTATCATCATATGTAAACGAAATGAAAATTTGAATTGTTTTTTTTTTGTAGGAAAGGTGATTATTACCGTTACTTGGCTGAGTTTAAGACCGAGCAAGAGAGGAAGGAAGCTTCTGAACAGTCGCTCAAAGGCTATGAGGTATTTATCTAAATATGTTATATTCTCAAACAATGTAGAAAGTTATTAGGAGATTATTGGTCTGATAGATTATATTTTTTGGTTAGGCTGCAACACAAGCAGCAAGCACTGACCTTCCTTCGACACACCCGATTCGTCTTGGACTTGCTCTTAACTTCTCTGTCTTCTACTATGAGATCATGAACTCTCCTGAGAGGTAACAAACATTAATTCCTTAATGAAATGTCAACTTTTTTTGTGATGTGGTTTCTTGGAAAACTATTGCAGAGCTTGCCATTTGGCGAAGCAAGCCTTTGACGAGGCGATTGCTGAGTTGGATACTCTAAGTGAGGAGTCTTACAAGGACAGCACTTTGATCATGCAGCTCCTGAGAGACAACCTTACCCTCTGGACTTCTGATCTTCCTGAAGATGGAGGTTTGTCTGAAAGTCACAAAGCATGACTTAAAAAAACAAGCTTGTTGAATTTGAGATTAAGAAGCGGTTTATGTTTTTTTTTTGTTTTAGGAGAAGACAACGTCAAGACGGATGAGCCCAAGCAAGAACCAGCTAAGGCAGCAGAGGCCACTGAGGTAACTGACCTGTAAATATAAGTCTGAATGTGTTCTTGTTATGTTTAAGCTCATGTGGTTTGTTTTTCTTGTGTGTTTGTTTCAGAACTGATCAAAAGGCGTTGGAGTTTAGATTCGATGCCCAGAAGGGAGAGGCCAATTCCTTTGAATTCGACAGCTTAATTGGTTTCATCAGAAAGATGTGATAGAGACAAATGAATTCAGTCCTATATTATTTTTCTTTTATTAACTTTTTTATTTATTTTGTTGTCAATATCATGATATCAAAATATTTTATGATATGAATCTTATGATTTGTTCAGATATGTTTTGGCTATTTTTATACAGAACAATCAACTGAATTATCTGCATCTAGTCTTCTATTGATACTTTATCATATACAATATGTGATAAGAACTGAGGATAAACCTAAACTGCCCTATACAAAAAGAGTTATGCAAAGCGAATATTAAAGGCAAACTCTTCCTCGTGATTCAGAATGTCAATGTCCTCATCATCTGACTTCTGTAAAACTCAAAAGGTAACATATTAAAACCAATAGCCCAGCTCTAAAGCTGGCCATGAAGTAACTATAGAAGCAAACTTGGAGCCTAAAGCGATGTCACATAATAGTCAATAGTTGTTGCAATTATTACTACTCACCAGCATCTCTATGTTGTAGAAACGATCCAGTAGCTGCAGAACCTCATCCGCTGTGAACTGTCAGTCAAAGCTATGAACAGAAATAGTTGACAGTCACAGAAAGGTTCTGAGAAAAATGAAACTGAAATAGGAACAATGAAAAAAACTAACGCTAGAAGGAGGGGTCGAACCTCCGACCTTGTGGTTAACAGCCACACGCTCTAACCAACTGAGCTATTCCAGCTTTTGCTAAGGTAGCTATTTAATACATTTTACTAATTTAGTACAAAGCAGCGGCGATGATGAACCAAACCTGAAAACGACCGGCAAAAGAACATGTCCGTATGTTAGTAACATGCCTATAAGGCTAAAACACTGAACACAACTGCTAACGAATAGGATTAGGAACATAATTATCTTAAGTAATCCACAATAGTGTTACTAACAATCTTGTATGCATTCCATGTGATCTCGATCGATTCCTATTACTAATTAGAAATCTTTAATAGCTTAAAATGACATATTGGTTACAATAGATATCCTACTCCTACATGTTCATGGGCTAACTACTAAACATTACTTGAATGAAGTCTCACGTTACGTTTCCATTTAAAAATCGGAGTATGTTTGAAAATTTGCCAGTTTATCATAATTGGATATAACATTTGTTATTGACCAAAACCTACAGAAGTATCGAAATAAATATGTGGAAGCAGGGCCGGCCCTGAAAAATAGGGGGTCTAAGACAACTTTTAAACGGTTTCACCTAAAATTTCTTTTTTACATATTTGGGGGCCTAAAAATTTTTTTTGGGGGCCTATGTACATGTAATTTTTTCCAAAAAATTTGGGGACCCAAGGCGAATGTTTCATCCGGCTTGGCTCAGGACCGGCCCTGTGTGGAAGTAGAATAGAAAAGTGCAAATAAATGTAATTCAAGCCGTTTTCTTGACCATGCGAAAGAGTCCTCCAATACTTGATTACCATATTTTTTTGTTATTTATGATGAAGAAAAAATTATCATAAGTTATTCAAAACAAAACCTTCCTTCTTGAGAAAGAACTCAAAGTAAGTAGTAACCTATATGACAAAAAGTCAGTTTCAAATGAAATATGTAGAAACAGTTTTTTTTTTTTGTAAGCGTTTTCTCTCAAGAAAAAAAAACTCTATAAATCAAGATCCAGCAGTAAAAAAAAGTTACATAAATCACAAAAACAAAACAAAAGAGGAACCAAATGAAAGAAGCACTTTGTGTTTTGTGTCTTGTTCTTCTTGTGTCAATTTCCGAAGCAGCGGTAGCGAAACCACATTTTAAGACTTTCATCAAATGCCTTCGCTCTTGGCCTAGTCAGGAGAATCCAATCACCGATGATATCTTCACTACCGATAACACAACCACCTTCTTGTCTTCTTACTTATCCTACACGAAAAACAAGAGGTTCGTAAGCCCTAACTACAAAACACTAATAGCCATTGTCACGGCAAAACACGTATCTCACATTCAAGCCACGGTAGTATGCGCAAAGTCCAACGGTATCCAAATACGTATCCGAAGCGGCGGTCATGACTACGAGGGGCTATCATACATCTCCACTGTCCCATTTGTCATCCTCGATATGTACAATCTTAGGTCTATTACCATTGACGTGCCAAGCAAGAAAGCTTGGGTTCAAGCTGGTGCCACATTGGGAGAGCTTTACACAAAGATCAGCAACGCGAGCGAAACGTTAGCGTTCCCTGCTGGCGTTTGCTCAACCGTAGGAGTTGGAGGACACATAAGTGGTGGAGGGTATGGTAACCTCATGAGAAAATACGGTCTCACAGTGGACAATGTCGTTGATGCCTTACTAGTTGATCTCAATGGCAAGCTCTTGAATAGATCTACCATGGGAGAAGATCTCTTTTGGGCGATTCGTGGTGGTGGTGGTGGGAGCTTTGGTGTTATCCTCTCTTGGAAGATAAACCTAGTTGAGGTTCCAAAGATCTTGACTGTGTTTAGGGTTAGCAAGACATTGGAACAAGGTGGAACTGATGTTCTCTACAAGTGGCAGTTTGTCTCATCTAAACTCCCTGATGGTCTTTTCATCAGAGCAATGCCTCAGGTCGTGAAGAGAACCATCGTTGTTAAATTCTATGCTCAGTTCTTGGGTCGAGCCAATGAGCTTGTGTCGATAATGAACCAAAGCTTACCTGAACTAGGGCTAAAACGTCAAGATTGTCAAGAAATGAGTTGGATTAAGACAACGTTGTTTTGGGAAGACCTACCTGTCGGAACACCGACAAGCATTCTCTTAGATAGACCGTCCAGGCCCGAAAAGTTCTTCAAGAGCAAATCTGATTACGTCAAGAAACCAATCCCTAAAGAAGGAATCGAGAAGATTTTTAATGTAATGTTGAAATTCAGTAATAATATGTATATGCAATGGAACCCTTACGGTGGCGTGATGGACAAGATTCCTGCGAGTGCCACGCCGTTTCCTCATCGGAAAGGGAACTTGTTCAAGGTTCAATATTATACGTCGTGGCTTGACGCAAACGCTACGAAGGGTAGCTTGGATATGATGAAGAAGTTGTACGAGGTTGCGGAACCGTATGTGTCAAGTAACCCGAGAGAGGCGTTTTTGAATTACAGAGACAATGATATTGGAAGCAATCCTAGTGATGAAACAAACGTTGATGAAGCTGAGATCTATGGGTCTAAGTATTTCTTGGGAAATTTAAAGAGGTTGATGGACGTTAAAGCAAAGTATGATCCTGAAAATTTCTTCAAGAACGAGCAGAGTGTTCCTCCTGCTCGTGTAAAGTAGTAGTGTTACTCTAATTTCATAATTTATTTTGTAATAAGTTATGCAGGCACGCGTTATAGGGTTATAGTAGCTGTATTGTCCTGTCCCATTTGCATTATGATCATTTGGTTTAATTTATAGTCATTACGGAATAAAGAATTTCATCGAACCGAGGTTTTGTACTTTTATTTAGAATAGCCGAAGCTGATACTCATAGGAGTCCTTAAGAAAAAGAGTATTTCGAATTTGGGAATGATATTTCGAATTTCTTTTTTTTTAAAAGATGACCATTTGCGGGTTGCCACGTGTCCTGGGGACCCGTAAATAGTGTAAGAATTCGCTAAGAGCAACTCCAATGGTGTTACCCATCATTGGAATCCTTAGGGATAAAATATTTTTTTTTTTTGAATAATTAAGGATTCCAATCAGAAATAGCCCTCCAATGGTGTTACCCGTTATGGAGTCCTTAAGAATAAAATATGTTTTTATTTATTTATTTGTAAAACAATTAAACATTAAAAATTTATTTATTGAAAGAGTAAATGTGAACATACAATAACTAAACATCATTATCATTACCAAACTTGTTCCAAATATTTTCAATCAAATCTTGTTTCAGTTGTTCATATATACGCCGATCATGAACACGAGTCCGTACGCCAAACATGTTACCGAGATTTGAAGGCATTTACCGACATATGACATATCCACCTGTGAACTTTTACTCAAGTCTCCTTCTTTAAATTTGGATGTATCATACTGAGTGTATCCATCGCGTTCATTTTCTACTATCATATTATGCAGTATGATACATGTTCGCATAACCATACATATTTGTGTCTTGTCCCACAAAACTACCGGGTTTTTTCACTATCGCAAATCGAGCTTGCAATACTCCAAAATCATGTTCCACATCTTTTCGGGTTGCTTCTTGAACTTTTACAAATAACTGATCTTTAGGACTTTGAGGGAGTGAGATAGATTGGATAAATGTTGACCATTTTGAATATATGCCGTCCGTGAGATAGTACGCCAAATCGTACTGGTGTTCGTTGACCACGTACTGTACCCTTGGTGCTCGACCTCATCCACAACTGCATACAATCTTCGATCGACTTCATCTGCCATATTTGACTATCCTTCAAATCAAATGAAAAAATGGTTATATTAATAGATTTCAAATATTGAAAATATTTAAAACTTTTCCTTCCATAATATTTAAAACATTTAAAACCTTTTCTTCCATAATCTTTAAAACATTTAAAACCTTTTCTTCCATAATCTTTAAAACATTTAAACCTTTTTTCCATAATCTTTAAAATCTTTTAAACTTTTTTCTTACATGATGTTTAAACTTTTTCTTTGACTATACTTTTTAGTTTATATATATATATTACTCTCGAAATTGTAGTAGAGATAGATGAAATGGTATTTGACTATACTTTTTAGTTCATTTTACAGAAAATTTTCAAGTCAAAACAGAGCAAGAGTTTGAAGACAAGAACAAAGCAAAGCTAAATAAGTGTACTACAAGATGTAATATAAAACCGAACAGAAGCAAAGACAAAACCAGGGTACGAGATGAACAAAGCAAAGCTAAATGTAAACTTGAAATTTTACAATGATCATACCTTACCAAATAGAGTTTGAGTACAACAGAAGTTGAAATTTTACAATGACCTTACAAATCCAGGGTTTGAGTACAACAGCAGCAAAGACAAAAGAAACAAATTTCGAGTACAAAAAGAGCAAAGTAAAATAGCTCTTCAAGCCGAGTCTACAACTGAATATAAAGAGAACGAGTAGCTAATAGAGAGAACCCATGAGTTGGTTCTGTCAACCCGTGAATACACAAAGAAAAAAACAAAGCAAAGCACAGCAAAGCATCCGTGACCAACAAAGCAAAGTACAGCATCCCCTGCCAACTCAACAACTTCTGTCTTGACCTGAAATAAAGAGTTACATGAGATTAGTAAACAAAGCAGCAATGTAAACTACACTTAGAGCTAATAAGATTAGTAAACTACACTGAGAGCTATTAAGATTAACACACCAACAATCATCACATCATTTCAGCAATAAGTTTCTTCTTGCGTGAAAATGCGTTTTTCGGTTATGGTGAAAAAATATTTTTTTCAGTTTTTGGGGGAAAACATGTTTTTTGGTTTTGGCAAAAAACATGTTTTTGGTTTTGGCACAAAAACGTGTTTTTAGATTTAGCGAGAAAACGTATTTTTACGATTTTGACGTGAAAATGTGTTGTTTTTGATATAGGTGGGAAAGTGCGTTTTGGCGGTCTTGACGTAAAAAATGTGTTTGATGTGAAAGTGTGTTTTTGTGGTTTTGACGAAAAATATTTTTTGGAGGAAAAGTGCATTTTTGATGAAAAATTTGTTTAAGCGAAGAACTGTGTTTCGACGGAAAAAATGCGATTTTGGTGGAAAAATGCATATTTGTGATTTTTTCATTTTCCATGAATGAAAAAATGATATTAAGTTTAAGTTTTTAATTTATGAATTATCTATAATTTATACCATTTTGAGAGAATCTCTCCATCCAGATGGTCCAATTTGAAGCAGTCAGTTGATTTTCAAAATTATGTCTAAATTTTTATATTCATTCAGATGAAACATCCAAATGATTTATATTTTTAATGTGTAAACAACAAAACTCTCATCTCCATCTCGATGGAAAACGAACAAGCCCCTTAATGTGTCTTCATGTGCAAATGACACACTTGAGTTCCGAAGATTTCTTGCTGCATCGTTTTTCCTTAAAGCAGCACAAAGACAAATGGATGGCACATACATGTATATATTCAATGGTTCGCTTGCCTTTTTGCTTACAATAAAACTTTTGTAATCATCTAATAATGTCTTTGACAGGGCTTTGGAAAGTGGTCAGACTGTGCACATCCACCCAACTTCTGTTTTGTTTCGTTCAAAACTAGTGTGTGTTATCTTCAACGAGCTTATGCAACCACCAAGAAGTACTCAAGAACCTGGTGAGAATTGATCCCTTCTGGTTGGCTCCTCATCATTACAAAACAGAAAAGTGACGCAACACATCTAGTTAAAACATAACCAGTGTTCCTAGAGATAAATTTTGCAGACTAATAAAATTTTACAATAAAAAGAAAATGATGTTTTGTTTTTTTTTTTTGTTTATCATTTATTTCTCTCATAATAACTGATTATGTTGACCTATTGTATATTATCAGGACCGTCTCAAATAAATTTTAGACTTTGTTTAAAAAAAATTAACGATATATTTATGATTTAATGATTTTTTTTTTAAAAAAAGTTAATAACTATGTTCAATGTTTCTTTAAAAATTATAAGTTCTAATCTAGTAATATATCTAATTTTTTAAAAACATTATCATAATCTATGTATATATATTTTTAAAATTCTTAATTTTTCCTTATTTTTTCCTTTTTTATTTTTATATTTGGAAACATGTTCGACCGCTCCACTTACATATATTATTGTATGCACGAATCAATTTTTATCTTTGTGAAAGGCCCAAGGAAAGAAAAGAGTGAATCCCCGTTGCTTACTTCTGGTTTGCATGCTTGAAGACAAGCATCATCAATAGGATATTCTACGCATATTCCTTTCGGGTTCTCTATATAAGACATACGAGATGTAAGAAGGTTTTCACACACTTTCCTAATAGTATTCTTCACACTAAAAATAAATAAATGTCAAGCTCTGATAACACCAATGTTAAGCCCACCTCCACCAATGCTTCAAAAACCCCCAGCACCTCTGCTGATCCACCCAATAACAACCAATTAAGTACATGTACCTCGTTCTCTCTCTCTCTAAATTCTTTCTCTTCCTTCAGTTACTCGTTTGAAAAATCTCTTTGTTTTTTTTTTTTGTTTTTTTAACAGGGAATAACAGAAGAACATGAATTATCTGCAGCGATCCAGGAAGCTCAAGACGAGTATGACACATGACTCGAAGACTGGCCACAACGTCAGAAGGAGAAATTCAGAGCCCTCGCAAAAAAAGACCGAAGTAGCAAGTAATTACTATTACGTACATATGTATATTTTCTATGTTTATGTTCATTGCAAGTATATGCATGAACTTATCAATGGACCTCTTAATGGTATATGATGAAATATATATATCGGTTTGCGTATTACTGTTGGGCCATGTTTAAAACATTTCAAAAAGGCTAAATTCTCTATATATTAATTAGGAAACATTTAAAAAGTTGTAATCTTAAATTTATATTAATTAAAAAATAATTATATCATGTGTGGCATCTTTCTATGTCTTCTATTTTAATTTAGAAAGATTGTAGAGCACCTTATATAAAATATAGTTTCAAAATAAGATTTGTTGGTCTCATATAAGACATATCAAACTAAATAACATATCAAACTAAATCTTTTATATATTATTTCCTTAAATTAAACCTATGAAATTACCTAATATGATTAATATTTATATGACTATTAATGATTTTAAATAATAAAGCTTTGTTAACAATCTATCATTTTTTATATATCCTTTTTGTTTAATGTTTTATTATTAAAATAAAGTACACAACTAGACTAATTATATAATAAAAAAATTAGATTTTTTATATATGTTATATTTTGAAATTTTAAAAATGGATATAAATTATTATAACTGTCAAAAATCTCACATAAACTTTTGTGATCAATGTCTAATTTTTTTTCTATAATATTACAGTGATTATAAATTTATATGAATAAATAATTTTATTTTAGTAGGTGTTTATGTTAATATTATATATATATATATATATATTTCATATCCTATGAATAAATAATTTTAAACTAGTTTTGAAATTTTATATATTCTAAATGTATGGCTTCTAGTTGGAAGATTGTGCTAAGTCTTGAACTTTTCCTTTTCACGCTTTGAGGACCTGCTTGTCCCAATCGTCTAAATCTTGTGTCTCTTGGCGTAATAGTCCACTACTCAATAAATAAATGAACAAGCGTTGTTTACAAAAAAAAATAAACAAGCAAAGAGATTTGTTAAACGAGTGACAAAGAGAAAGAATTAGAAAGAGAAAACTAGATAAAGATCATCACATGTAAGGCATCCAAACCACTGATTAGAATATCCAAATTAAAAATATATAGTTAAAAAAATTGTTAATGTTTATATACATGTAGAGTTTTTGTTAGCTAAATACACACTAACTTATTGGGCATTATTAGTCAGAATAATATTTGTTAGATTTCCCTACAATAATTATAAATGTGTTAAAGTTTCAATATATTATTAATAATTAACAATGAATTTCTATTTTAAATTAAATTTAAAAGTTAAAACCATAACAAAAAGTTAGCTCCAAAACAATTTTATTCGTGTTCCAAATTATTTTCCTGCCTCTTTCTGAAAATGTATTATTATCGGCATAGGAGAATTTCATGATTGATTACTTCAACATGTTCATCAATTAAGCTCTAGTTTCCTTCGATCTAGATTTGAACAATTTCAAAGATTAAAAAAAAAACTTTGGGTTTTTTCTTGATATAAAACAGCTAACAGATGCAAGTGAGGATACTTTGAGTGCCTTGTGTTTGTATCTACAAACTTCCTTATGCAATGATACACATTCAAGACATAGTTGGTGATGATTTATTTATGGAACTAAAATTTCTTCGAAAATCAATACCTTTGAAAGTTTGAAAACCTATCGAATTACTTGAATTTTTAAATAAAAATAGACGCTTGTTATCAAAACACAGATATTGCCTATTGGATATTATTGAAAATTCCAATGTCGGTTGCCATAGCTGGAAAAAAATTCAAAGTCGAAGCTGATAAAGAATTACTTGCATTGTAAGAGAGGTTAAAAGAGAACTATATTATCAATTAAGACGAATATGGTTGAAAGACTTGACTTTATGAGTTTAATGAATGGTATTGCTGGAAAAAAATACAAGAAGAGCTCTATTTCAATAATATGTGTTCTACATAACTAGTTTCTTATAAACAGTTTATGCAATTTGATTTTTTAATGAAAATTTAAAGTTTTTTTATACTGTTTTATGATTTTGTTAAAAAATCTGGCTTGGGACACTATAAATCATTAGATGGCACTGATTTCATTGTTTTTGCCACTCTAAATCACCAGTATTGTGGAAGTATTGTGGCATAGTGGCCAAAGCTTAAAACTTTTTACATCATGTCTGGGGTTCGAATTCCTGTATATGCAATTTCTAGGTTACGATTCCCGGAGAAGACGAATTATACAGAAAATTAAAGAAAATGCTTATAAGAATTCGTCAGTATGGTGTAAGGAGTACCGTCTGAAATGGATCTCATAGATCGGCTCATGATGATGTAGTTAAACGTGAATCTGCATAAAACATGTATAATTAGATTGTAATATCGTGTATATAATGTGTTCTTCATAATTTGTAATAACATAATTAACCATACCAAAAAAGATCACCACTATTAACTTTAAGCCGGAATTTAATTGGTTTGACTTTACTCTTTACGGTTCAAAATTGAGGTCAAAATTGAGGTCAATTATCAACCAAAGAAAATAAAATAAAAGTTGGTTAGCGCCTTAGCGGTTAAGCCGGTTCAACCTCCCGGTATTTTCCACTAAACCTTAGAAGTAGCAAAACCTAATTTTCGTTTTATGTTCTGTCCCAAATCGAAACTAAACGAACTCTGTCCTTAAATTTCTTGCCTGATTCTCAAATTCTCACTCTGCTGTGACTAAATCTAGGTGAAAATTTTCGGAAGATGCCATCAATGACGCAAGGAGAACTCAAGAGCTCTGTGCTAAACAGTAACCAAAACCCTAATTCTCCAGTTGCTTCAAGCTTAAGGTTAGTAATCTACTTTCTATGTCAAATTAAATGCTTCCCCAGACCATAAAGTAACGATTTTTGAATCTGAACTTGTCACAGCAAGAGGCAAAAGATAGCAGAACATAAAAAGACTCTTCCTATAGCTTCAGGTGCGAGTTTACTTCACTTACCCTATTCATACTTGTCTCATGGAGACTAACTGATTGTTTTTTTTTAATAACAGTGGAGAAACGACTTATTGAGGAGGTTCAAAAGAATGATATTTTGATTATTGTTGGTGAAACTGGTAGTGGGAAGACTACTCGTAAGTTCTTTTTTTTTTTCTTAAGTTAACTGATGATTAAATTCTCAATTAGTATCGGGACCAAGTTGCATCTTATGTTTTTTTTTTTTTTTTTGGTGATAGAGTTGCCTCAGTTTCTGTTCAATGCTGGATTCTGTAGAGAAGGAAAGATGGTAGGGATATCACAGCCGAGGCGTATCGCTGCTGTGACTGTTGCTAAAAGAGTAGCTGAGGAATGTGATGTTCAGTTAGGACAAAGAGTTGGTTACTCCATTAGGTTTGATGATACTACTTCTAGCTCCACGAGGTTAAAATACATGACTGATGGTTTCTTGTTAAGGTAAAAACTAAAACCACAAGTTTATGCTCTTCTCATAGACCTGTAATTGATCTTCTCATCATTTTTGTTTCTTGTTTTTTTTTTGCAGAGAAGCCTTGGTGGATCCGCTTCTTTCTAGATATTCAGTCATTATTGTCGATGAAGCTCATGAGAGGACTGTGCATACTGATGTTCTACTGGCCTTGCTTAAAAAGGTGCAGCGTGATCGGTCAAAGGCTGTTGATGAGATTGGTGGTGTGTTAAAAGGCAGAAAAGCATCTCCTTTAAAGCTGATAATCATGTCTGCAAGTTTGGATGCACGTGTTTTCTCAGAGTATTACGGTGGTGCCAGAGCTGTTCATGTGCAAGGGAGACAGTTTCCTGTGGACATTTTTTACACTGTTCATCCTGAGAGTGATTATGTAGATGCGGCTTTGGTCACTATATTTCAGGTTATTGATCTTGTTACCCTGTCAGCATTTAGGGAATAGTAAATTTAATTTTGCTTTTGTTTCTTTTTGTTTAGATTCATTTGGGGGAGAAGGAAGGTGATATACTTGTTTTTCTCACTGGACAAGATGAGATTGAATCCGTTGAAAGACTTGTCCAAGAAAGGCTTCAGCATTTACCTGAGGACAAGAGGAAGCTACTGCCATTGGCTATCTTTTCTGCTCTTCCATCAGAGAAGCAGATGAGAGTTTTTGCTCCTGCGCCAATTGGTTTTCGTAAGGTTAGTAAAGTTCAGTAACATTTTGGTTTGTAAATGGTTGAGACAATGATACTAATCCAGTTTGTGGTGTTTTTGAAAATTTTCAGGTGGTTTTGGCCACAAATATAGCAGAGACATCGATTACAATTCCTGGAATAAGATATGTGGTAGACCCTGGGTTTGTTAAGGCACGAAGCTATAATCCCAGCAAAGGAATGGAGTCGCTTGATGTTGTTCCAACATCAAAAGCACAGGCGCTTCAAAGAAGGTACCATGTTCTGTATTCGTTTATGTTTCCACTTTTAATGGTTAGTGACAGTGCATGCAGTTTTATATGCTTTTTTCTGTTAGTGGACGTGCAGGACGTGAGGGTCCTGGTAAATGTTTCCGTCTTTATCCTGAGAGGGAATTTGAGAAGCTGGATGATTCAACCAAACCAGAGATCAAGAGATGCAATCTCTCTAATGTCATTTTGCAGCTGAAGGCTCTGGGAATTGATGATATTGTTGGCTTTGATTTTATAGATAAACCATCAAGGTACTTTGTCACTTTCTTTTACTTGAAAATATCAATGAACTGATTTGTAGTCTATAACCAATGTTCAAAACGTTGCTAGGCCGTGGTTAGGCGCCATATAGAGGATTATTGTTTAGTCGGGCGTCTAGGCCTATTTTTTGAACAACTAGATATCATTTTTCTTTTTAAAAGTTGGTTTAAAATGTTCATACTCGATTTGCCACCTAAACTGATTTTTAGAAACACTGAGTCTGAGGCATGGCTGAAGTATCTATTATCTTTTTTTCATTGTGGAAAAGACTTTGATATAGATTGTCATATGATGTTAAACCAGGAGCTCCATTGTAAAAGCGTTGGAGGAGTTGCGTTTGCTTGGTGCCTTGACTGATGATTGTAAACTAGAGAAACCCACTGGTGACCAAATGGCACGGCTCCCACTGGATCCAGTTTACTCCAAAGCTCTAATTTTAGCCAATCAGTTCAACTGTCTGGAGGAAATGTTAATCACTGTTGCAATGCTCTCTGTTGAATCCATATTTTATGATCCTCGTGAGAAGAGAGAAGAGGTGAGTATTCACCAAAAAGATTGGGAGAAAATTCCCATTTTCCATTATATATATATACAGTTCATGAAAACAGCTGTGTTTTTATATTTGTTTCGTCAGGCAAGAATTTCAAGAAACCACTTTGCTAGCATTGAAGGGGATCATCTAACGTATCTTAGTGTTTACCGCGAGTCGAATGAGTTCTTGGAGAAGAGAAAGGCAGAAAACAGTGAAGCCAAGGTTGATAAAATTATGGGGAAATGGTGCAAGGACAACTTCGTGAATAGTCGTTCCTTGAAACATGCTCGTGACATTTATAGGTTTGTCAATGTCTACTTTTGAAATTCTTTGCACATGATTGTGGCTCTGTCTTGTGATCAGTTTTTGAAAGTTATACAAATATGTTTGTTGTGCAGACAAATTCGTGGAAACGTTGAACAGATGGGGTTTAATGTTTCCTCATGCGGAGATGACTTGCTTGAGTACCGTAGATGTCTTGCTGCTTCTTTTTTCCTTAAAGCAGCGCAGAGACAAATGGATGGAACATACAGGTATGTATTTAATGGTTCATTTGTTGTTTAAACATGTAAATATGTGTATCTTTTGCTCAGAATAAAACTTTTGTAATGATCTAATGTCTTTGACAGGGCTTTGGAAAGTGGTGAGATTGTGCACATTCACCCAACTTCTGTTTTGTTCCGTTCCAAACCTGAGTCTGTTATATTCAACGAGCTTATGCAAACCAGCAAGAAGTACATCAAGAACCTGACAAGAATTGATCCTTTATGGTTGGCCGAGTTGGCTCCTCATCATTACAAAACAGAAGAATGATTTAACCCATCTTTTTTTTTTAACTGAATAATTCATTGATTTGTTCTTTTGTTTGAATCTATATATTGTGGTTCTGGAGCTACTTAAAATATTGTCAAAGGATTTGAGTGGTAGTGGTACAAGACCATAAACTATATTCTAACTTTTTAGAGAAACATTGATTCCAACTCCAAGTTGAGACTTGACAGGTCCAGATGTAAGCTCTATTGACACGAATAACATCACTGCTCCAAGCCTGCCCTCCACTTTTTTGATCCCTCAAACCCAATGAGAAGGTTCCAACTTTGTATTTGACCACCAGTGATGAAACTATTGCTAATCCTTTCTCTTTTTTGCCAAAACGTACTCTGTTTATGAGTGTGTTTGACACTTTGACGTATCCTTGTCATGATGTTTTTGACTTGATCCATGTTGGGCTGTGGGTTTGTGAATAAGACCCATTAATATATTTTAACAATAGACACTTAGCCATGAGTCGTGGTCATGATCACCATCCTCATTTCCAGCTTCAAAAGTTGAGAATGTCAAGGCCATATACTGGTGAAGCACTGGGCATAACATTAATGGAAAGTTGTTTTTCTGATTTGGATTTAATTTATAGGAAGGAAGACGACCAAACATACTCTATTTCTCTTTTATGGAGCTGGAGACATCAAACGATTTTTGGAAGAATTTATTTTGACACAATGTACTTTGTAATATATAAATGCTCCAAGGATGTGGCCTCCATGTTTCTCCGTTATACATCTGTCTCTCCATCTTGGCCACCACATTTGCTTACATTTAATCATTCATAAACAAAGTTAATTGTCTTATTATATGTCAAAATACAAATTATCTACCTTTGAGCACAGCTATTTTCTCAGGTATATTCCTTAATACCAAGTCAGATTTAGTCAAATAATTAAAGCTATTGAGTGCTTTGCAACTTCAAAGGTCTAATGCAGAGACTTTTTTTTCCACGACGTGAAGGTCTCAACTATTTCATCTATCCAACAGAGGCAAGCACGAACAAACATTCGAACATGTAGTAATGCATCTATAAACATTCTTTTGTCCTTTTGCATAGAAACTAACACATAATATTTTTTTTTTTTAAATGGGGAACTCGTTCACATGCATCTCTCACGAGGAGGAAAAACGTCCCAAGAAATCCTCAGCCAACCGCATCAAAGGAGGAGTAAGTAACTCCGGCAGATACATTCGTCGCCTATCCTTCTCCTGCTCCGGCTTATCCTCCAATTCCTCTTCCAAGAAAAGTGGGATCAGAGCAAAGAAGAAGATTAGAGAGAGGCATCATCATCATCAAGATCACCATGGACACGATAAAGACTCTAATATTATCCAAGAGCAAACTTTAGCAGCCACTAATCTTCTCTTCAACCAAACGCCACGTAGCAGCAACTCTGCTGCTCCTCCTAATTTCAGACGGTCCACCTCTGTCGTCTACCCCTCGACTAATCCCGCAAGCTCAGACAGCGGCTCAGGATCTGTTTCAGCAGTCGAGACTCCCAAGAAGTCGACGTGTGGATTCGTAAGAAGCTCTAGCTCTAGGCAAAGGTCTCGTAACGATCCAGTGATCAAGCCTAACCAGCTGGTAGACAAGGCAAGCCTCTTACTTGATAGAAAACTAATGAATATATGCGTATTTTGAGATACAATTGTTTTCGTTTTACGTTTACGTGAGTTTATTCCTTTCCATATATAGAAATTATCATGCAGGATATTAGTATTTTTAAATTAAAATAAGCCACTATTTTAAACAAAATCATAGTTAGTTTTCTGTACAGAATCGCAAGTAAATTGAGGATTTATTTTAGGACAAATCTCTTATATTGAACAAACATTATGACAAAATTAACATAAAATGAAAAAAAAATTCAAAAATAGTATTAAGCAAAAAATAAAATGACTAAATTCTTATAATTCTATATCCTTACCCTGAATTCATCTCCTAAATAGTGAATCACAAACTCAAACACAAATATATAATTTTTTTTGTGTTTTAATGAGTTTTATTTAGAGAGTTTTTATCTTTGTGAGCTATTTCGAAAAGAAACTGTTTTAATGTTATTTCAAGATATTTCTCTTTCTTGTTCTTTTACGTTTAAACTTTACATTTTTCGCAAAAGTGAAAATTATTTATCATTTTAAAGTTTTTTTTTTTAATATGTAAACGTACAATATTAAGTAAAGAACCTTTGAACCTATGTCTTGTGACATTGTGAGTGACATGTCATATGTGTAACAGGATCTGAAGAAGAAGGTGGATGCTTCAGAGACGAAGAGGTTCGTGCTGGTTCATGGTGGAGGATTCGGGGCTTGGTGTTGGTACAAAACCATAACTCTCTTAGAGAAACATGGGTTTCAAGTCGATGCCGTTGACTTGACCGGTTCAGGTGTTAGCTCTACTGACACCAATAACATCACAAGCCTCGCTCACTACTCCAAGCCTCTCCTCCACTTTTTGGAATCCCTCAAACCCAACGAGAAGGTTCCAATTTTATCTTTAGACCACTAGTGATGATCAAAACTACAACAACTACGTTATGTTTTAAGACCATGATCAATTACAGGTAATTATAGTGGGGCATGATTTTGGAGGGGCTTGTATGTCTTATGCGATGGAAATGTTTCCTACCAAAATCTCCAAAGCTATTTTTATATCTGCTACTATGTTGGCTAATGGTCAAAGCACTTTTGATCTCTTTAATCAACAGGTATAACATTTTTTAGTTTATTTGATCATCCGCTTACTAAGTTAAGTGCTTTCATTGCTTTTGCACTAGGTCCTTTTTATTTATAACTTTATTTAAGAAAATTAGGGTTCTATTTGTTAAAAATCACATAGATTAGGGTTTTGATTTTCAATTTTAGAACTATATACTCACAATTTGGGAGAATATTTTTTCAGCACAAGACCCATAAATTAAGTTAACAAGGTCTGCAGCTTATAATATACTTTTAATGGCATTTATTGGTTTAATTGATTCATTTTCAGCTGGGATCAAATGATCTGATGCAACAAGCTCTGATATTTCTGTACGCCAACGGCAAGAAGAATCCTCCAACCGCTGTTGATTTCGACAAATCTTTGCTTAGAGATTTTCTCTTTAATCAAAGCCCTCCAAAGGTAACTAAATCTAAACCGAACCGTTACAATTCGGTTTGATTGCTGAATCTAATTTGACACTTCGGTATAGGACCTTGCATTGGCATCGGTATCCATGAGACCGATCCCGTTTGCACCGATTGGTGAAAAACTTCACGTGTCGAAAAAGAATTACGGCTCTATTCGACGGTTCTACATTAAAACAATGGAAGATTGCACCGTACCGATTCCTCTTCAGGAGGCAATGATCAAATTGAACCCACCTGAACAAGTTTTCCAGCTCAACGGATCCGATCATGCACCATTCTTCTCTCGGCCTCAGTCTTTGAACCGAGTCCTAGTCGAGATAGCTCAACTACAGCTCACAAAATGATTGTAATATGTTTGATCGGTTGGTTATTATTCTAATCCGGTTACAAAAACTAAACCAAACCAGGTTATAGGATCTCATAATTGTAGGGGGGGTTATTCAATCATGATTTCATATGAATTATCAATATTTTACAATTTATCGAATTTAACTTTTTTAGGTTGGTGTGGTGAATTTTAAAATCTATGTAGTATGCTTTGTGTTTTTGATTTAAGTCATTTATTAATGAGATTCCACAATAGATGATTTGAAATCGTTTTAAAATACAAAAAAAAATTGAAATCTTTGAAAGTTGATAACATTAAATTTTAAGAAAACTAGATTTAAATCATTTAATAATATAACACCACATTTTAAGATTTATAAATATCATATCCAATAACATTAGATTTTGAAATAGAAATTAGAATCATTATTCGAATAAAGGTGGATTGAGTTTAGATTTCAAATCTGTTAAAATGCATCATCTAATAACACCACCTTCGAGATTGTTTTTGAGAGTTGGACCAAGCAGTGAGCAGAACATATTATCTTGCGTGAGTTCCGCATCCGAAATCTGATCTTCTCTTCTCCATAGCTAACTTTAATCCTTAAAAAGTCATCATCTTGAGATGATGACACAAAGCGAGGGATGTTTTCTAAACTAGATAAGAGTCAATACACATCCTACATCAGCTTGAGAAGATACGTTGTTGTTGTGTCGCTGTTTAGTTGAGTTGGGAGTAAGACGACCAAATTAACATACTCTATTCTCTTTTTTCTTAGCAAAACCTTATTCTCTTTTATGGAGCTTGAAACACCATACGATTTTGGGAAGATCGTGTGATTATTGTTGTGCCACATAATATATAATGGTCTAAGGATGTGCCCTCCATGTTTCTCCATTATATATGTCTCCATCTTAGCCACCAAATTTTTTTTACATAAAATCGTTCATAATTAAGTTATATCAACTTGCTTAGTTAAAAATTTATTAATGTTTTTAGATAAGGCATATAAAATTGTGGGTTATATAATCGTGTAACTAATATTTTCATAATTTTTAATATCTAGACGAATCAGCATAAAACAAAAAACAAAAAAAGTGTTTAATATATGTCAAAAATAAAAATTATCTAACTTTTGAGAACAACTATTCTCAGATATATATTCCTTAATACCAAGTAAAATTAATCAAATATTTAATAGTTTGAGTACTCAGCAACCTCAAAGTCTAATGCAAAGACCTTTTTCTTTTTTTTTTTTTTTTTGCAAAGACCTTTTTCACTACGTGAAGGTCTCAACTATTACATATCTCCAACAGAGGCAAGCACGAACAAAAATAAGAACATGTAATGATGCATCTATAAACATTCTTTTATCCTTTTGAGGAGAAACTAACACAGAAAAATGGGGAACTCGTTCACATGCATCTCTCATGAGGAAGAACAACGTCCCAGAAAATCATCGGCCCGCCGTGGCAAAGGAGGAGGAAGCAACACCAGAAAATGCATGCGTCGCCTATCGCTCTCCTGCTCTGGCTCCGGCTCATCCTCCTCTTCGTCTTCCAAGAAAAGTGTAATCAAACCAAAAAAGAAGATAAGAGAGAGGCGTCATCAAGATCACCATGGCAATGATAAAGACTCTAATATTATTCAGGATCGAACTTTGGCCGCCACTAATCTCCTCTTTAACCAAACCCCTCGTAACAGCAACTATGTTGCTCCTTCTAATTTCAGACAGTCAACCAGCTCAAGCGGCGGCTCAGGACATGTTTCAGCCGTCCAGAGTCCCAAGAGGTCGACTTGTGGATTCGTAAGAACTTCTAGCTCTAGGCAAAAGTCTAGTGTCAATCCAATGATCAAGCCAAATAAGCTCCAGGACAAGGCAAGCCTTTTACTTAATAGAAAACTATAATGAATATATGCTTAGTGTTTGCGTTTTGCGTTTACATAGAAAATTCTCATAGGTATTCGTATTTTAAAATTAAAATAAGCCTATAGTTTTAGTATTTTGTAATGAAATCATTCTTTAATTTTATATACAATATTGCAAATAAATTGCGAATTTGTTTTTTTTTGTTACGTTTAAATTTACATTTTTTTGTAAACATTAATTATGATTTAAAAAAACTAATATGTAAACACACAAAAAGGGCTATGTCTTGTGACTTTTTTTTTTAAGTAACTGCTATCTAATGTGTAACAGGAGATGAAGAAGGTGGAAGCTTCAGAGACGAATCGGTTTGTGCTGGTACATGGTGGAGGATTCGGGGCTTGGTGTTGGTACAGAACCATAACTCTCTTAGAAAAACATGGTTTCCAAGTAGATGCCGTTGACTTGACCGGTTCAGGTGTTAGCTCTACTGACACCAATAACATCACAAGCCTCGCTCACTACTCCAAGCCTCTCCTCCACTTTTTGGAATCCCTCAAATCCAACGAGAAGGTTCTGACTTTAGTCTTTCACCATTATTGATGAAAATTACAACAAATAGATTATGTTTTAAGACCATAACTAATTACAGGTAATTTTGGTGGGGCATGATTTTGGAGGGGCTTGCATGTCTTATGCAATGGAGATGTTTCCTACTAAAATTTCCAAAGCTGTTTTTATGTCTGCTGTTATGTTGGCTAATGGTCAAAGCACTCTTGATCTCTTTAATCAACCGGTACCTTTTTCATTTTATTTCTTTACATTAATTTATTATTTTATTAGAAATTATGCAAAATAGTACACTGATGATTTTACAAACCGATGATACAACTTTTAATGAATATATACACGTCCACGATTTATATATGTTATGAAAATTGAAGCGGTTTTATCTAAAACCAGAGGATCTTTTGTAAACTTTTGCTTATGCTATGCTTTTTAATTGCTTCAATTAATTATTTTTCAGCTGGGATCAAACGATCTGATGCAACAAGCTCATATATTTCTGTACGCCAACGGCAAAAAGAACCCTCCAACGGCCGTTGACTACGACAGATCTTTGCTTAGAGATTTTATTTTCAATAAGAGCCCTCCAAAGGTAAATCTAAACCAAGCCGGTACAGTCCGGTTTAATTACTGAATTTATCTTGATTTTTGGTATAGGACCTCGCATTGTCATTGGTATCCATGAGACCGTTTCCCTTCGCACCGGTTGGTGAAAAACTTCACGTGTCGAAGAAAAACTACGGCTCTATTCGACGGTTCTACATAAAGACCATGGAAGACTATGCCGTACCGGTTCTATTTCAGGAGGCAATGATCAAATTGAACCCACCAGAACAAGTTTTCCAGCTCAAAGGAGCCGATCATGCACCGTTCTTCTCTCGTCCTCAGTCCTTGAACCGAATACTCGTCGAGATAGCTAAACTACCGTTTAAATAATCATCGTGATATGTTTGATGAATTGATTATTATTCCAAACCGGCAATAACAAAAACTAAACCAAACCGGTTATAGGATCTCATAGCCTTAGAGATTGTTTTTGAGAGTTGGACCGAGCAGTGAGCAGAACATTATCTGGTCCTGGTTTGAATTTCGTATGTTATTTGTTGATTTATTTTGTTGATACATATATTAATAATTCCTTATGTCCAGGAAATGAATTTTCCATTTAGGCTTTTCCTACTTAAATATATAGCCTCTTTAATCTCCTTTTGTTTCATATGCATTCTAGATCTTTTGTATACATTTCTCCGATAGACATTCGAAATCTCTCGTTGCACTCGGTTTGATCATATTTCTTGAATGTCGTTACCATCTTTTTTTGTTCTCATGGTACAAAAGGTTTGATCATATTCTTATCCTCAAGACTTTAATTTATTATATAGAGTGGATTAAGTCTGCTTCTCGTACAATAGACCCACTATCATCATTCATTCATTTGCAACTTGGGTACACGGAGCTGTCTACGAATTATGGAATGTTAAATATATAGTCACGCGTTAGATCTATACTCGACATGGTGATTTTCTTTACATTTTAATTTTTGTCTAGATTTAGTAATACCAACAAAAAAAAAAAATCAAAAGTATGAAGAAAAAAGGACCCAAATGGAGAAGTTGCAACTTTTCAAATCATACAAGATACATAATGGACAAAGGAGAGTACTCATATGTAAGAAAGATGTCGATAGTGGAGATCAGCGGATGCTGTCGCCAAGAGCACGAGATTTTTATTCTTTTAGTTTCCCTCTAAACTTTCTCTTTTGATACTGCTTAACTGATTCTCATTTCCATATATGTATTGTTATAAATAAAATGAAAAAACCTACACTATTGTTATTCTCTCGTATCTCATTCGATCCTTCATTCCGCGATAAGTCTGCATACCACATGCGTAAATTGTGTTATATAAGTTATATTTTGGGTCTGTGAGATAATACATATATATGTATAGATAAATATTGATAACCAAGGCCATTAAATAACATGTTAAAAATCCGCAGTATACAATTTTATATATAAACAGTCTCCCGAAGTTGATATAAAATGATATGTTCACTAATATTTGCGTAATTAGTTTAAAGAATTGATAATATAGAATATTTATTATATCTGTTGACTCAACATAATACACAATTGTTAATTGGTGTTCAACTCTGCCAAGAAACATCTATACGTACCTCACTACTTTTACCGCCGAGCAATTAAAAACTCTAAAGTACTTATTTACATTTCCAGAGAAATCTCCGCCGTCAATGCAAAGCGAAGGTGACATTTGGGATAGCGCCGTGGTCCGTGCTTATTTCACTTGTCTAGCTATCCCATTTTCACGTCACGAGACGTCGATATAACCCAACTACAGTACTGTACTTTTAATTTTATTTCTGTACTTTAAAAAGATGTTAAAATTTATTCATATCAAAACATTTTTACAATGAATGTGTGTCCTTGTGTTCACTAATAGTAATTAATTATTACGAGAAAATAATGGATTCCACATTAGGCAATGGAAGTCCAGTCAGACCAATGAGAACTCGACAGCACATCCTACTAAACTACTCTTGTATTATCCTTTGTCCAAAACTAGCTTTAGGTTTCCCTGAAACCGCTCATTCCAAAATATCTTCTCCTTAAATAAAGAAAGACTCTTTCACAATGTTATTATCATCAGAAGGGAAAGAACAAAAACTTTCCTAATTAGATCGAGCTCTTCGCCATCTCTCTATTATTGTTTCTATTTTTTTAACTGGGGCTTGTTTGTTTGCTTCTCTTTTTGGACTTCTTTTAGACAATTTATATATTCTACGAAAAATGGGAAGGGGTAGGGTTGAAATGAAGAGGATAGAGAACAAGATCAATAGACAAGTGACATTCTCTAAAAGAAGAGCTGGTCTTTTGAAGAAAGCACATGAGATCTCGGTTCTTTGTGATGCCGAGGTTTCCCTTATTGTCTTCTCCCATAAGGGGAAACTGTTCGAGTACTCCTCTGAATCTTGGTAAATGCATAATTCCCTTTTAATTTTTAGTGTGCTCTTATTTGCCCTAATTAGTAGCTTTTGCTCTCCTTAAGGTCTTTCTCTGGGTATCTTATCTTTCTTTATGATAGTTCTAAAAAAATGTATTTAATTACTTGGATCTACGATTTGATTTTACCAAAGTTAAACCATTATAACATATTTGTTTTATATCAGAAGAAAATAAAAGATTTAGGGCATAATAAGGTGAATACTTGAAATGAACCCTAGAACAAGATCTAATTGAACTGGTAGTGACATGGATTTACAAGAAATCGTCACTGTATATCTTCTTTAATTTAAATATGTATAGACCTTTTTGTTTCAAATAGAGATTTAAGTAATTTAAACATAGAAAGAACCAACGTTTATATTGATATGGGCTAAAGTGGTTTTGCCTTATCATTTTAAGAAGCTACCCTTCTGCTTAGTATCTTTCAATAGCGTAGTAGTATGGAAGATAAAATCTTCCAATATTGTCGCATAATTTCCGTCTGTTTTATTGACCTTACACAAAAAAAAAAATAAAATTAAACACTAAAGTTAGTTTTATAATTACAGAGAAAATCTTCGTTTTTGTTGCAAACCCAGTAGTGTATATAGAGAAACTAGAACTAGGGATGTGACATCTAGGTATAGGGGGTCTTTGACCTCTGGGGATCAATGTAAAAGAGATCATTCTATTTTCTATCAGCTTCTCAGTCTACCGCTGGTCAAAAAACTTCAACAATTGTTTTTCTTTTCAAGAAAGGACAAACTATTATATGTTTATTACGTTACGTCGTTTCATACATAAATACTAATAACAAACTTATTTTTAAATACTTATATCAAAACTTTATTGAAGAATTGGAAACTCAAAACTTGGACACATAGGACGCTGCACGTCTTTAAATGTGGGGTTAGTGATTCAACGGGTTTTTAATGTAGAGAAATTGTAGATGTAAGAGTGTTTCTAGGGTTAAGGCACATAATCAGGGATTATTTATTTTCTATAACAAAAGTTAATGTTTAATTGCATCGCTAATTAATTAGGTGAACTAGATGATGTAGTGTGTATTGGATATTTTGGGTTAATAGTTTCATCTTAGTCAAATGTGCTCTTCTGATAAGCTGAGAAAATATTTGAGTGTGCAAACTATTAGTGGTTATTAATTATATTTAGAAATGCGCACATACTAATTTAATACGGCAACTTTTTGGGAGAATGAATCTACACTAACCCTACGCCTAATGATAGCATGGAGAAGGTACTAGAACGCTACGAGAGGTACTCTTACGCCGAGAAACAGCTAAAAGCTCCAGACTCCCACATCAATGTATGTTTAATGATCTCCAACATTCTATCAAACATATCTTTATGAACTATATTATGAATGTGTTTTCTTAATTAACATAATACATGCACTGTTTACATACTGAATTAATTGTGTAGGCACAAACGAACTGGTCAATGGAATATAGCAGGCTTAAGGCTAAGATTGAGCTTTTGGAGAGGAACCAAAGGTACTTATAGAATATAGGAAATATATATTGTGTAAATAATAGTTTGTTTTACTAGTTAAACATTGGGAACTAACAAAAAGAGGATGGTATGGATTAATCATATAGGCATTATCTGGGAGAAGATTTAGAATCAATCAGCATAAAGGAGCTACAGAATCTGGAGCAACAGCTTGACACTTCTCTTAAGCACATTCGCTCCAGAAAAGTATGTAAATAAGCACATACAAACATCTATATTTTATCTTAGAGTTTGTGAAGATAAATATATACCTAATTATTGTATAGAGTTTGTCTCATATAAATGAATACAATTTGGACTCAATTGTATGCAGAATCAACTAATGCACGAGTCCCTCAATCACCTCCAAAGAAAGGTACGTTAGAAACATTTCATATCTCATGTCGCGTGTATGTGTGACTTATATATGTTACCGTTTAAATATTTCAGTTAAATACAAAACATATGGTTTATACACACATATATATATATATATGATTATATCTGTATTTATATAGATAACATTTAGTGTTTAAATATCTGTGTATACATATAGATGTAGAAAGAACCTCTAGAGCGATCCCTGAGAATTGTTTCATTTTGTAAAAAATGACAGGAGAAAGAAATACAGGAGGAAAACAGCATGCTTGCCAAACAGGTAATCATTGTAGTTGCATTTTTTACTGTTTCACAACTGTTTTTACTATTTAAATTCCACTGTTCTACTCCACTTCAACCTCTACATTAAGCTGCCATTGCTCCACTTTCGGCACCAACTCTTTTTAAAAAGGAAGAATTAGATGTTTCATTTGATTGGTATAATCATGAGCATATATGCACACATGTAGATGGGCTTTGTCCGTTTAGTATTAAGGTTGTCTCCTAGATTTGAACTTGAACTGTCTTCTCGTAATCATGGTCTATATATAAACACGCTGCACATACAGTAGCCAGTAGGTTTATTTGAGGAAGTACACCATCTTCTTTGAGTTTTATTAAGAAAGAGCATTATGAAAATATGTTACTAGTAGCTCGTATTTTGAATAACATGAAAAATTATGGAACAGTTAATACTAAAGAGTAATCCCTTGATAATTTCAACTAATTACATTAAAAATGGAAACTAATACAATTACTATGTATTTGGTGCTATATATAAAAGCACTATACATGTGTGCTCTTACCATAGTACCGTACCAACATTTATTGTGAATACATAAATTTAGTTGATAACTTTTTTCGGTCTGTGAAATCGGTAGATAAAGGAGAGGGAGAGTATCCTAAGGACACATCAAAACCAATCAGAGCAGCAAACCCGCAGCCACCATGTACCGCCTCGGCCGCAAGCGCAGTTACATCCATACATGATCTCTTCTCAGGCATCTCATTTCCTAAATATGGGGTAACGGTAGTGTTTCTTTTTTATCTTTTACAGTTTATAGTATATATAAATATATGTACAGATCTGACTCTTAGTGTTAGTAATTCAATGTAGGCGATGATGTTGTATGTATGTTAGGGTTTGTGTTAAGTGTGGCGTTAGAGGTTGATGGCTTTGTAACTACAAGTCCAAAAGTATACAATAAGTAATACAGTGGAATGGTATTTTTAAAAAATTATCGTATGATTGTGATTTCAGTGGTATGTACCAAGGAGAAGATCCAATGGCGGTGAGGAGGAACCGTCTCGATCTGACTCTCGAACCCATTTACAACTGCAACCTTGGATACTTTGCCGCATGAGTGGACTCTCCATATATTGATAAACACAAAATAATTAATATAAGATTGATCCTTTACGTATGCATAATAATAGGCAGCAATGTTTTAGCCACCATATATACACTGGAAATTCTCTCTATCCTTAATTAATATGTTTAACTTTTTGAGTGAAAATTATTCTGTGTAAAATTCGTAACATTGCTTAATTTATACTGCATCAACACGCCACCAATTAAACCCTCCAGACTAAGCTAGTCTCCACGCCAGCTGGTTAGATTTTCTTGACAGGCTACACACTCCATGATTCCAATCAATTTGGTTCAGCATTTTCTAGCAAAGGGTTTTTATTGATTATGTTGTGTTTCACTCTTTTATGATATTTGAATTTTTCAAACTTATTTTTGTTGCTCCTAGTGAACACTCCTCCGTACGTGAAGAAGTGGTATATATTCTATGGAGCCATTTCCCCAATGTCCTTTGGTGGATCCAGATGAACTTTTCACATGTTGGTAACAAATATGTGATTGTGAACTGAATAAGATCAGATTTTCTTTCTCCGATTTTTTTGGTCGGATAAGGCCTAATTTGGGCTAAGCAGTACCGTTGAGCAATTCACCGCCGCGAAAAGAAAATTAATTTTGTAATGTACTGGTAAGTTGAACTGATTGATATTGTATATTCAAATATGTATTATGAATTTATGATGGATATTGTTAAAAAAATATTGGAGGAACTGATTTATTGCTCCGTGCGTGCGCAAGTAACCAGAAACAGAAGGCTGGTCAGCCAACAGATAGTCCCCGCCCATAGAGAAAATTCTGTCAGACAAGAGAAAGTGAGAAACATCAATTGTTCTCTTTTTTTCTTTCTATACTACAGCTTTGATTTCTTTTCAGAAATTATATATATATTTTTAACACATTAAAAACGAAAATTTCTCTGAAAAAGAAACGACAAATACTCTTTTCTATATATTTTATTTATTTTCTGTAGTAACAAATTTATTTACTAAAAATACCTTTTTTTTAAATATAGTCGGATAATATACAGAACAAAAGTAGAAAAAGCGAAGATCGTCTAAATAATTGTAGAAGACATATTCCACATGGTTTCATCAAGAAACTAGGGGAACCGTTACATAATCATCGCTGACACATCATCAAATAAATACATTATCTTGTTCAAGTATTTATTCATTACATTTTGATCGAGCATAATACATGCATCTTCGATTTATATGTTTATGTATTTGCAAAATGACATATAGTTAAGTTAAAAAAAAATGACATAGTTTAACTGAATTCTTAAGTTAATAACGGTATTAGTAAAAAACTTAATAGCGGCCGCTACACTTCTTTTTTGCCAAGGTGAAGGGTGAATACTTTTATGATTTTAGCACTTATTAGAATTTATTCTGACTTGTTATATGCCGAATATCAAACAGAAAACGATGAACAATGTTTTCAGTATTTTTTATACAATAGCAAAGTTAAATGACACTTAAGAAAATAGCAATGGAAGTAAACCCAGTGTTAGTTAATTTGTAGACGAAATTAGATCATGTGTGTTTTACTTAACTGTTATGAGATAAGCTAATTTTTTCTGACCAATTTTAATTGAAAATGTCTAGTGCATTAATTAAATATAGATTTATATTTTAGGATTTGGATATATCGTTAAAAACATCTACATGAAAAAGCAATAATGATCAGAAAAATATCTTGATCTGCAACAATTAAATAAAAGATATATTTGATTTGGTCCTTCGCCAATTACTTATTTTTCTTTAATAATTAATATATGACCAAATCAAATATATCTTTATTTAACTAATTCACTCATATTCTGTTTTTACTATATCCTTCCAGATAGCCGTTGCTGCTGCATATTTTAAAGAATATTTGAAACTGCAATTTTCCTGATAGAATCATATTAATTTATTAATGATAAACCAATCTATATGAAAAAGACAATCTAGAGCCCAGAACCCATGGTTTGTAAATATATATTCAAACCATAGCGTCCCTAACCACAGTTCAATTATCACGATTTTAATTTTTGAACTTCGTTTTTCTTTGTCAACTTGAACTTTCGGTTAAAATTAATAATTTTAATTAAACAAGAAAATGGAGTTTCAAAATAAAAGATTAAACAAGAAAAATAGTATGGCCAGTTTGTAGTATTAGACTTCGAGCACGAGATAATGACACGTGAGGGGATAAGATCGTCGTATAGCTCAACTGGCCACTGAATCAGCCTCACGTTCACCAATCACCAGTCCTCTGCATTTAGTCGCCTGCACGACCTTGTCTTCTCTTCTTGGTGGAATGTATTAACTATTTTATTTTTAGTTTCTTCTTCTAAAAACTAATATCGATTCGATACCTGTCCCATATATACACTAACATCAGTTCTAATTTTGTATGGTTGTAGCTAAAAAATGCAGATTAATTAATTTATTTTATTCATGTTTATAACAGTTTTAGTAATCGTCATTTTCATTGAGCTTAAAACAAGTGAAATTTCAGCTTTTCGAAATAATATATTGAATACGCCTGCAGACGAATAAACAAACATTGTAGTGGACTTGCTTATGTCGGAAAATATCTATCTCGGCCGTTGCCGCTCTGCACCTCTACCCACATCGTGCCTAAACATGATGCTTAAAATAAGATTGGTGGTTTAGAATATTTGGTGTTCATACTTATGGTTGAGGATTCAATTAAATATTGGATACTTTGTGTCAATGACTCCTCTATATTCTGATGTGTAATATGTTTACATATATCTTTGAAATTTCATATCTTAAGAATATTGAGAAGTTGCCCAAAAAAAAAAAAAATATTGAGTGTTGTGTAAAGGGTTTTGAATGAGTGATAGAGAACGACATTTTTCTAGTACTGATAAAATGATTAAAAAAAATATTTATACATGTACAGCTAGCTATTATACACTACGGTGTTTATACACAACCTTCAATAGTTCAATGTAATCGCAAACGGGGTATTTATATCTTTTTGCAAATCAATTTTCTTGTAGGTCAATTCATTCAACACTAATCCCTAGAACTTGGGTAGCACCGACAACTCTTGTCATATAAAACATAGATAGTGGTCAATCACGATTAAAACCACAAGAGAGACTCTATCCATAGTTTTCAACTGTAAAATGAATCTTTTCAACAGCTGAAACACAATAAGTAGTTTTATTTGCCATGTTTACTCCTTTTTTGTCAAAATGTGAAATTCATATAAATATGAGAAGAGTTTGTAACTAGTTACAAAACAGTTTAAAACAGCTAGGATAAGCCTTGGACAAAAAAATATAAAAACAAAGTTAGCCTAGAAATTGTCAAACCCACAATTACTCGTGTCTCAACCAGCAGAGCATGAGGTTTGAGAAGTGTTTCCGGTGCCTTCTGCCCAGAATAACGTCACGTACATGCCTATCAATGAGCTTGAAAGTTGCTTGTGGCGTTGCCATAATCCCGTCATGTAGTCTTTTGTTTCGCTCAGCCCAAATGGAGTAAATCGTTGATTAGTCCTGTTTCACTAGTTTACTGTTAATTAGTCACTGTATCGAACCAGCATATCATGTGAAAATCAAAATGGCGAAGCTTAACTCATCTACCAAAATTTAATTTCTAGGCGACAAAAAGTAGAAAACATGCATGGTGGTATGACATCTACAAGATGTGTGGATACGTACATCACTCATTGTATGTTTACTCAAATGACATGTTCACTTCACATAATACAGCAACCATTCATACATGCATTGACAAACTTTTCCTCACCCAAGCTCCAACTCGTGACCTCAATATTCAATGCAAGCATTTTGTTTTTAGAAACCTCCATGCACAGCACAAGGGAAATGTGATGATAAATTACGAATGTTAATAGTGTAGTAAAATTATATAAACGAAGACATATTTTGGAATTCATATCAAACATAATTATAAAAAATGCGAAAAATCAAAGATAAATTTGCTTTCTTAATTATTATAACTAATATGGCAATTTTTTTTAATTATAATTAGACTAATACAGTTGTCAAATCTCTAATCATGAAGTATTAGATCATTGTGTTTCTAAACTTTAAAGTGACCAAGATTATGATCTTGTTTTTTTTTAAACTATCCCGATAAAACTGCTGCATTAATAAGATACGTCAAAAATCACTTGGAGAATACGTCAACAACACAATTTAGAGATGTCGGTATCGATCACACACTTGTCTTCTTTATGACAAAAAAACTCCAAATTTAGGAAACTAAAAAACTGGTCCTGAGAGAGGGTAAATCATGTTTGACCAAGCCACGTCAAAGCTCTAATCCTCAATGCCACGTCATCATCTTCCGTTGTTTCTGAGTCCTTTCCAAGGCCGGTTTGCTCCCATCGTAACGTTCCTCATTTCGCCAACATTATTCTCAGAGCATCAACGGCTGAGAATTTAAATTATAATTTATTATAATATATAGATTCTCTTTAGCTATTTAACCATGGTTAGTTTTTAACCCTTGGGTTAAGCTGTGGAGAGAGGTTAAATGTCTGTGTAAGTGACAGAGAGAGAGATAGGAACAGAGAAAGAAAAAAAAAACAGCTTCAAACGAGAGAGACCTCTCTGAGTCGACTCGGACCGAGTTGATTTTGTTTTGCTCCATTACTGTATTCGTTTTCGATCTCTTCCTCATTATCTCGTCGTCGAGTCTGGTAAGAGTCTCTTCTCTTCGCTTCCATGTATAAAGCTTACGTTTTTAATCATGAATCTGGGAAGTTAGATAGCTCTGTTCATGTATGTTGTTAGTTTTAGAGATCTAATGTTGATATTAAGCTTAAAGTTTTGATTTTTATATGTGTTTGCTCATGTTTGATTCAATACCTTGACTTGCAGATTTATTGTGTTCATTTCATCTGAAGTTTAACTAATGGAAGCTCGTTGTGGAGTCTAATTCATTCGTTAGTTTGATTGGTTAATGCAACTACTTGGTGTTTTGGATCTAGCCGAGGAAGAAAAGAGCTATCTTGGGGGAAAAAGGCTGTGACTTTCTCTCTTAGCTTTTTTTGATTCTCCACGCTTCATGTCACGTAAGGTCAACAGTCCTATTCAAACACAAATGGCAGTTTCGGTTTTAAAGAGTCCCTTAACAGGGGAGTTTCATGAGTTTAACAACAAGGTAGGATTGGGAATGAAGTCTTCTCCTGTGGGTCGTAGGCGTGTTTTTGTTCAGACAGAGACTGGTTGTGTGCTGGGGTTGGAGTTGGATCGTAGTGATAACGCGCATACAGTGAAAAGGAAGTTGCAGGTGGCTTTGAACTTCCCTATAGAGGAAAGTTCGTTGACGTATGGGGATTTGGTGCTTAAGAATGATCTAACAGCTGTGAGGAATGATTCTCCTCTACTTTTGACTAGGAACAGTTTTCATAGGAGTTCATCTACTCCGTGTCTTTCACCAATGAGGGGTGATGTACAAGAGCAGAGAGATGAGAGTGGTTCTATTGAGATTCTTGGGAACTCGGTTTGTTCCAAATTTGTGAGGCAAATGGCTAAGGATATCACAAAGGCGTTGAAGAGGGATGTTGAGCCAGTTGCTGTACATAGTGGTCTTGGAGGTGTTTACTTCTTTAAGAATATCCGTGGTGAGAGTGTTGCGATTGTTAAACCAACTGATGAGGAGCCTTTTGCACCTAACAACCCTAAAGGCTTTGTTGGTAAGGCGCTTGGGCAGCCTGGTTTGAAACGCTCTGTGCGTGTTGGTGAGACTGGTTATAGAGAAGTGGCGGCTTATCTTCTAGATAAAGATGGTTTTGCTAAAGTTCCTCCCACTGCTCTTGTGAAGATCTCTCACTCGATATTCAATGTCAACGATGGAGTGAAGGGGAGCAACAAGCATATGGAGAAGGTTTTGGTGAGCAAGATTGCTTCCTTGCAGCAGTTTGTATCTCATGATTATGATGCTAGCGAGCATGGAACGTCAAGCTTCCCTGTTTCGGCTGTGCACCGTATAGGGATTCTTGACGTTAGGATTTTGAACACTGATAGGCACTCAGGGAACTTGCTCGTTAGGAAGCTGGATGGTGTTGGAATGTTTGGTCAAGTGGAGCTGATTCCTATTGATCATGGTCTTTGCTTGCCGGAAACTCTGGAGGATCCTTACTTCGAGTGGATTCATTGGCCTCAGGCGTCGATACCATTCTCTGAAGACGAGTTGAGGTACATAGCAAGTCTTGATCCTTTTGAAGATTGTGAGATGCTGAGAAGGGAGCTTCCTATGGTGCGTGAGGCTAGTCTCCGTGTTCTTGTTCTGTGTACTGTTTTACTCAAGGAAGCTGCTGCGTATGGGTTATGTTTGGCTGAGATTGGTGAGATGATGACTCGAGAGGTTCGTCCTGGAGATGAGGAGCCTAGTGAGATTGAAGTGGTTTGTCTTGAGGCTAAGAGTTTGATAGGAGAGAAGGAAGCTGAGTCCCCAAGATCAGTAGACTTGGGTGGTGATGTTGAGTTCCAGTTTGATTTAGATTGTGAGGAAGCATTCCCACTCGGGTTCACTCTTGGAAGTAGTCATCTTCCAAAGGTGGAAGAAGAGGAAGAAGAGGAAGAGGAAGAAGAAGAAAGCAAGGAGAAGGAAGGGAAAGTAGAGAAAATGCAGGTGATTAACAAGCTTTCAATGTCTCTCAAAAGCACTCTTCTTGGTGAGAAGAGCCAGAAGTATCAGAAACATCCAGGAGCGAGAGCAGAGAGTGCATATGCATCATCTGCACACAGGAGTGCAGAAGAACAGATTCCAGCAAGCACAAGCTTTGTGAAGCTGTCTGATATGAGTGAAGAGGAGTGGAATATGTTCCTGGAGAAGTATCAAGAGCTGCTGTATCCAGCATTTGCTAAGCGTAAGGCGATAACTTTAGGACAGAATCTGAGGCAGAGGATGGGGACTTCGTGCCAGTTTTGAGGATGTCAGAGACTGAAGAAGAAGAAGAAGAATAAAGGATCGTGTAGAGGTCTTGTTTCTAAAGGGCGTTTGCTTGAGACTGGACTTGGTGGAAAAGATGGTCAAGAAATGGATTAGTGTAAATATTCGTTGATTCAGCTTTTAGTGTGGAGGAGATGAAGAGAATGTAGTCACGTGTCTTTTAATTTTCTTTGCATTTTTTTAACTTCTTAAGCCCTCTATAGGATCTTGTTGGATTCTGTTGTCTCGTTTAAAGCCATGTATAGCCCTCTCATGTTTTATATGTCACTTGTAGATTAGAACAATAAATGAGATCAATGAGAGCTTTGTTTCATATCATCATCTACATTTTTGTTTATGAACTTTCACTTTTTCGTAAACGGTGAAGTTAAACATCTTCATTTTGAACATGTTCCTTCTACTGCTCTTGTCAAACATTACTCGTTCAATCTTTCAACGTCAGTGTTTGACCCTAACAAGTAACAACACATGTCTCACACAATGTTGTTGTTTCTTACTCTTGACTCTTACCTCCACATCTATACAAATTACAAAGATCACTATCTGCTTCCTCAGGCATTGAATATACACATGTCCACATCATCAATATTTGTTTTTTTATCAACGTCCATCAAAATATGTAACTTGAAATTGTCTTGTGCTGTCGATTGCATCATAATATGAGTAATAATATTCTTGGTAAATCATATTGACCTTTCTTACATGTACAAACGATTACAAATTATGTACTGTTAGAGGCTACAAATAAATTTACACATTTTAGTTTCCTATATATTGTTGGTCTACTCGCGCGGCCATAATAAGTTATCGATTTTTTTTCTCTATAATTGATGTGTAAGTCCAGGATGTGGCCAACTTTGACTTCAAACCTCTTTACGTCTGCCGGTTTATTGAGCTATAATTTCATATGTATATGCTTCATTGTACAACTTGAAAAATATGAACCAATACATTCACCCGATTCATTAAAAAGTAATTGAGTTTATTCAATAGCTATAAATTAAGACAATACACTGGCCTTTTAGTAGGCATAAGAACCAACATCAAAAGCAACAACCCAAAGTCAAAATGCACAAAGTATTAGTACAAACGAAAGTACATTTCGTCTATACTGAAGTCTCAAAAGGGAAATATTGTAAAACCGTGGATGCCATGCCATGGTCGTAACTTATTAAGTAGAATCTTCTTTTGAAACTCACTTCATCATGTATATATGGTTAGTATATTGGTGGAGGGGGTGAGCTATAGCTATAACTATAGCTTGGAGGTGGTGGAGAGCTGTAGATGTAAGATGACGGTGGAGGAGAACTGTATACGTAAGGAGGTGGGGGAGGAGATTTGTAAACATATGGCGGAGGTGGTGGTGAGCTATAAACGTAGGGAGGTGGTGGAGGAGACTTGTAGACATATGGTGGAGGTGGTGGAGAGCTNGAGGGGGTGAGCTATAGCTATAACTATAGCTTGGAGGTGGTGGAGAGCTGTAGATGTAAGATGACGGTGGAGGAGAACTGTATACGTAAGGAGGTGGGGGAGGAGATTTGTAAACATATGGCGGAGGTGGTGGTGAGCTATAAACGTAGGGAGGTGGTGGAGGAGACTTGTAGACATATGGTGGAGGTGGTGGAGAGCTATAAACATATGGAGGTGGTGGAGGAGACTTGTAAACGTATGGAGGAGGCGGTGGGGAGCTATAGACATATGGTGGAGGTGGTGGAGGAGACTTGTAAACGTACGGAGGAGGCGGTGGGGAGCTATAGACATAAGGAGGTGGGGGAGGAGACTTATAGACATAGGGTGGGGGTGGTGGAGAACTATAGACGTAGGGAGGTGGTGGAGAAGACTTGTAAACATAAGGTGGAGGCGGTGGTGAGCTGTAGACATAAGGAGGTGGTGGAGGAGACTTGTAAACATAAGGTGGAGGTGGTGGTGAACTGTAGACATAAGGAGGTGGTGGAGGAGACTTGTAGACATATGGTGGAGGTGGTGGAGAGCTGTAGACATAAGGAGGGGGTGGAGGAGACTTGTAAACATAAGGTGGAGGTGGTGGAGAGTTGTAAACATAAGGAGGGGGTGGAGGAGACTTGTAGACATATGGTGGTGGTGGTGGAGAACTATAGACATAGGGAGGTGGTGGAGGAGACTTATAGACATAGGGAGGTGGTGGAGGAGACTTGTAGACATATGGTGGTGGTGGTGGAGAACTATAGACATAAGGAGGTGGTGGTGGAGACTTGTAAACATAAGGAGGAGGTGGTGGCGAGCTGTAGACATAAGGAGGTGGTGGAGGAGACTTGTAGACATATGGTGGAGGTGGTGGAGGAGATTTGTAGACATATGGTGGAGGCGGTGGAGAGCTATAGACATAAGGAGGTGGTGGAGGAGACTTGTAGACATATGGTGGAGGCGGNGAGGTGGTGGAGGAGACTTATAGACATAGGGAGGTGGTGGAGGAGACTTGTAGACATATGGTGGTGGTGGTGGAGAACTATAGACATAAGGAGGTGGTGGTGGAGACTTGTAAACATAAGGAGGAGGTGGTGGCGAGCTGTAGACATAAGGAGGTGGTGGAGGAGACTTGTAGACATATGGTGGAGGTGGTGGAGAGCTATAAACATAAGGAGGTGGTGGAGGAGATTTGTATACATATGGTGGAGGTGGAGGAGACTTGTAGACGTATGGAGGTGGGGGAGGAGACTTGTAGACATATGGTGGAGGTGGTGGAGGAGATTTGTAGACATATGGTGGAGGCGGTGGAGAGCTATAGACATAAGGAGGTGGTGGAGGAGACTTGTAGACATATGGTGGAGGTGGTGGAGAGCTATAGACGTAAGGAGGTGGTGGAGGAGACTTGTATACGTATGGAGGTGGTGGAGGAGACTTGTATACATATGGAGGTGGTGGTGGAGAACTGTAGACGTAAGGAGGAGGCGGTGGAGAGCTATATATATATGGAGGAGGCGGTGGAGAACTATATATGTATGGAGGAGATTTGTAAACATATGGTGGGGGTGGCGGAGAACTATAGACATATGGTGGAAGCGATGGAGAACTATAGACATATGGTGGTGTTGATGGTGGAAAATATTGTGCACTTGAATGAGCAGCAATGGTAAAAAAAGCCAAGACCAACATTAGTAGAGATGGCCAATTTGGATTGGCCATGTTTACTAAACTGTTGTACTCTGTAAGCCTTACTAACCAAGTTATTGATGAATATGTTGTAATAACATCCAAGCAGTTTATATAGCAGTCATTACTGCAATTGGTACGATTGTTTATTATGAATGTTTCTTATTGCAATAGGGTTAAATTGTTTAATAAGTCAAATTAACTTTAGAGTTTGTTTAAGATAAAAATCAGGAAGAAGTCTTTGGTAGCTACCTTTTACTAACTTCAAATCGGATGGTTAGACTTTGAAGTTGTCAATTTTAAACTCAACGTCATTTACTAGTGTAGCGGTAGATGGCGAAGGAGCATAAGCAAAAGAACTTTTCCATGTTCTTATACTTAAGTTTGAAAAAGGAACATGTCAAGTTTAGGTAACGTCTACAATCTTATATATTAAAACAGAAGTCATGACTCGACTTCATGTGTGATTTTTTTTTTAAAATGGACTATTACTAGAAAGTCACGTTACATTAATTCTCTAATAATCTTATCATTATTATATCTTATGAAAAATCATATCTATAATAACAAAGATACGCTTAGCAAATTTTTTTTGGTAAATTACCCCCACACTTTCCAACTTAGTCACGCAAAATATGTCAATAGATATATGTTTAGGAATCTTCTATTATTTAAAAAGAAATATGTCAATAATAGTTAAATGCATCCACAATATATTAACAAAAATCACAGATTCGTAATATGGAATATTTATATACCCTAACAAAATTTACACACTATATATAGTAGATAAATTTATCTCGATGTAAATTTTTAAAATTATATTGTTTTAAAAAAAAAATTATTTTAAAATTCTTTATTATATTAATTTATGAAGCTATAAGTTTAGTTTTAGCAAAAATTTCTTCGAAGTTTATATTATCTTTACAAATTAAAGTATACTAATATTTAATCAAGCTCTATTTATATTACTTTATATAAAATGAAATATTAATCTAACAAACAATAAAATATACAAGAAGAAACAAACACATGTGTGAAAAACATGTATAATATAGAAAATTTGAAACAATCTACTTGATTAAAGCACGTATTATATAATATTATTATGTCTGAAAAACATTTACTATATATATCGTAAATATGTGATTACTATAATATATACCAATTTACAAGTTAAAACAAAATATTTATATAACTAACTATAGACGAAACAAACACCCGCGCGGTTGCGCGGGTCAAAATCTAGTTATGATTTAATATTCATCACATGTACGCTTGAAGAGGCATAATAACATATACACAAACATATGCATATAGGTTTTATACATGACCTTGCAAAACTTTTGTTATAGGTTCGAAAACAAGGTTTCAGAATATGTTTCACTTGCTCCTAAGTTGGTTTCGTTTCTCTTAAAATAATATCTTCAGACTTCAAACTCGAACAACTTGCTTGCAAATTTTAAAAGACAGTTAAGGATCATTAAAGAAAATCATTTGATCACAAAAAGTATTGTAAACAATGGAAAAAACTGGCAAGAACATGACAGATGAAACGTTTTGTTTTAAACTTTGAAGTTGTCAATGTGTAAACTCCATGTCATTTTCGGAAGAATCTTTCTATTATGTTTGTTTATTGATTTATAGAGTTTTTCTATCTTATTGTCGGTTCATCGAGCAAAACCAATATGCAATAAATCTTTCTATGAAGAAGATTATTGAGCTATTAATTACTGCATGGCACAATGTTTATCTTATGAACATATCACTTACTATTACGTAAAAGCACTCGATTTTCAGTAATGCATTTACTTTGTTCGATCTTTCCTTAGATAGGCTTAAATTAATTAAACCTACAAGCTCCTTATATAGTAAAGGCCCACATGGATTTTGCATAAGACTCTGATTAAACTACGGATAGTTGTCTCTTGATTGCTAGTGGTTGTTAATTACTTGTTGGTAGTAAACATATACACAATATTTCCACAACTTATTTAAAATTTCAGCAGGTTTTTCTAAATGGTCTAATATTTCATGGAGTATACATGTTCCATGAATAACCTACATGTATATATGTCATAGGGGTATACATGTTAGCGAGTGTTACTTTAGGGAGTGATTAGAAAAAATAAAACATTTTGGGCCGAGTAAAAATAACTGAATACATATTGGCATAACCGGGTCGGGCCTTTTTCTCGGCCCAAAATGTTTTGTTTTCTTCTTAAATCATCCCGACACAGTTGTTGTCTTGTTATAAAATGCTTCCGTGAAACCCTAATCCACACATCCGCGGCTATCATCAACCAAACACAATTCTCAACAAAATTTCTCATCTGTCATTATCATTTTATCGATTTAGGATCATATAGCAGAAAGTTTGTTGCTTTATTGGTGTTATCCTCAGAAAGTTTGGATTTTTATTTTTTTTGGATAGTATCAAGCACCGTATAGCCCCTTGCATCTTTGAGTATATGGATGCTAAGGAACAAAATCGAGAAAAGGGTACTCTTTTGGTGCAATATATTGGCACTTACGTTTATGATTTTCATCTCTTGAGATGTTCATAAGCTTTGAACATGTCAAGAAAATGCGTATTGGCCAATATTTATTCAGTTATTTTGCTGCTGGTTCATGGGGTTGAATTTTTATCCTTTACTTGTATTGGAAGGAATCAGAGTTATGATGATGAGAAACAAATAGCCTCTGAAATTAAAATTCATGTGGATTTTATTTTACATACCTTCAAAGTTCTCTGAATTGCTCTGCTTTCTATTTAAATCTGTTTTTCTAAGTACTTTTTTTGAGTTATTTGGTGTCTGAGATTTGATTTTACTTGTTTGGTTTAAAGTCGAAATGATTCTACTTGTCTTAGCGGCACCTAAGAAAATCATAGTCTGTTTAAGCTGATTTAATGCTTCAGACTACACGAGCATGGTGCTATATTAAACTTCTTCAGTGAGTTTTTGTTCATGCCATGTTTTAGCATTTAACCTTGATATGGCTTGGCTTTAGAAGAACATTATCTTGATCTTAATTATGTTTTAGGAAATTTTTTGGGTATCATAGAAATCTACTTGAATTTGAAGCCTGTGAGAAATTGAAATGTACCCAAAATGAGACAGTAATGAACAAAAGAACTTATGAGTAAAGCTGGTGCTATTAATTTTGAACTTATGGGTGTTGGTTCTACTACATCTATCGTTCATGCGGGTACAGAATCACATTGTGGCACAATTGGATAATTCCTGATAACATGTGACTACTTGTGAATCCAATTCATTCACTGATTCACATGCCTCTCTTATGTTGGTTTCTGCATGAACAAGTCTAATCCATGTTGCCTCGTGGTATTGAAAAAAATTTGCATAAGCTCTTTTTTCAGAGCTCAAGACAATGTCTAGAGGAGTTGAAAATGATCAACCTTTGATAGAGCAAAGAGTGAACATGTTTGCAGATTGATGATCATGAGAGTACTGATGTTCCAGCAGTCTGTGCGGCGAATGAATAAGAAGTGGGAAACATGAATAACCATGCTTTCCAACAAGTTGGAAGGACCGGTGTATCAACATATAGAGAAAAGAAGATACCTCGTGAACAGGCTTCAGGTTGTAAGGAATGCAGTTTAATCTTTGGTCAGAACCAAGACCTCTCATTTGGATTTTCCTTTGTCTTGGAAGTACCATGTCTAAAGAGTATATCTGCCTGCGTTGTTTTTGTTGTAGCTGCTCTCGGTTGATAAGAGGGCTATCCAATTCTTATATTTACTGAAGAGGAGTGAGCAAGATGATCTTGCTCCTGTTATTAGGAAACACACTAAAGGATAACCTGAAGGCGGCAGAGCCATTAAAGCTCCCTCCCTTTTGTTTCTGCTCTGATACAGACCAGTCACTCCAACAACATTGCCTACTTCTCTAGCTACATTCCCCATTTTCCCTGACAGAAACTTGCCAATGTTTGCTCGACTCAGAGTTGTAAGGTTTCTGTAATAATACCCTTTTGCCAATATTTCCTCAACTCATGCCCAGAACTTGATTCCACTTTCCATGAATCAGTCAGAGAAAAGCTGTTTACTTTAGTAAAATACATAAAACCCGACCAAATAACGATAGAAAAGTCACATGGGATGATGTAATCTCGAAACTATTCTACACGTGTTATATCTCTCTATATATATATGTATATGTGTGTATGAAACTGAACTAAGCTCTGGTAGTCTCGGCAAACGTGTCAAAGCCAAAGGCTTTTCTCCTTCAAACAAATCTTATCGGATTTTGTAAGAGAATGATTGGAATAAGCGTGCAGACAGCAATGGATATAATCATCGCCGGAATCTCTCTAATGATCGGCTTAGGCTTCTTCTCTCTCATCACCACCATCCTCTGCTCCATCACCTTCCTCCACCATCTCAAACCCACTTCTTAACAATTCCATCACAAAGTTCCAAACTTTATCTACTTATAGAAGCTTCTCTGTTTCCACGACAAAGTATAGTAGTTACAGAGACCATCACAAAGATTCAAACTTTATCTACTTAAAACCTTCTCTGTTTTGTAATCTTAAATCCCAAAAAAAAAAAGGTTCATTCCTTTTCATTTCTTATTCCTCTGTTTCCTTACAAACACCATCCCTCGGATCCCATCCGGATCCGAAACAAACCCTAACGGCCGATAAAACCCTAAAACCCTAGGCTCCGAATACAGAGCAATATTACAGATCCCCTTCCTCTGCAAATCCTCGATCAGCCTCTCCATCACCGCCTTCCCAAGCCCCAAGCTTTGGAACTTGGGATCAACCACAACGTCCCATATGATCGCGTTGAACACTCCGTCTCCCGTCGCTCTCGCGAAAGCCACCGGCTTTCCCGTCTTCCCGCACTCCACCCACAGCATCGCGTCCGTGTGCTGCAGCGCGAGTTCGATCTTCGCCGTGTCTCGCCGCGGGAAGCCCACGGAGACGAAGACGGAGTTGAGGTGGTCTAGGTTTAGGCCTTGCGGGGTGCGCCGGAGGAGGAAGCCTTTGGAGAGAAGAGCCTCGTCGGTGGTTGAGTAGCTCGCCGTGGGGAAGGAAGCTTGTGAGGGTTGTGAGGAGGATGCTCTTATCCGGAGAGAAGGTGGAGGAGGAGGGACTCTGAGAAGCATGGTGGTCTCTGTTTTTCTTGTTAAAGTTTCGAACTTTCGCAAACGAAATGTTGAAAGATTGAAACTTTGTTTTTTGGTTTCTGAATTGGGATGAGGGCTTGTGGATAAAACTGTGTGTGTGGCTGTGGATAACTAGAGAAACTTGTGGTTGTGAGAGACCGTTGTCGTTTAGTAGTTTGAGACTTGAGAGTTGAATGAGTTGTTAAGTTGCTTGAAAAGAAGATAACAAATGAATATACTTTTAGTTTTGCTTCAGTGATCCATCTTGTTAGTTTGTAATATAGATTTTTATCACTGTGCAATGCAAATAAGTAGCTGTTAGTTGATTGATTGTTTCTTGGGCTGTTTTGTGTGTTAACAAGTTTTTAAGATCTCTGGCACTGTCATCGGCAGTTCTTTCTTGCTCATCAAAGGTTTTTCTAGGTCCCTTCTCCAAGTATCTGTCATGCGGTTCATGAGGACGTTCTTATAGTATAGAAGCTCACATTTCTCGTATCTATATCTCTGCCTATTCGTAGATGGTTTTATATGGTAGCTTGGACAATGGTTTTGATTCCGTGGCGGGGTTGCGTCTTGTTTGAAACTACCATTAGATAGTATGCATATTCTTATGCTATTGTCCTCCTTTGTACAGAAACCAAAACTAGAAATATATACATTGCAACTCGAACATGCATATCTTCAGTACCATTGTTGCTACTGTTTTTTCCAGCTCTGCAGCTTGTAACCCGTTGGTAATGTTTAATGTTTCTGTTCTGCTTTTGGTTGCTTCAACAGTGTACATGAAAGACCTGCGCAAACCAACTCCTCTGTATTCACTATTGTTCATGCTGTTCCTAGACCCCAGGAGGAATGCCCAGACTATATCATCGTTAAGTGTTAAGAGAGATACTGTGGGTTAAAGATGGTTGCACAATGAGAGGAAGCAAACGAAAACGATTAAAAGTCTTATCATTTTCTTGTCCTTCCAGATCTCATGATTTCTGGAAAATTTCTTAACATTTCCAAGTTGTCATAGTTATACTCTAGGGACTTGATCTTAGTACTAACACATACCAATCAAAGTCAAACGGGGGCCTGTTGATGAGGCTAATTCAAATGTAACTTTGAGATCTTAAAATGAGAGAGGCTACCCTGAAGATTTTGTTTTCAAATCACTATAATTCTGTGATTGAGGGAAGTTCTGCATTCTCTTAGTTCGATGTGCTGGTTGGATATTCGTTTATCTTCTTGAAGATATTTTTGACAAGAAAGATTATAAACCTAGTTTTGTTTTGTATTAGTACTGTTAGGCCTAGGTACTGTTTCACAAAGCAATAATGATTGGTGGTTGTTTGGTGTACCAAAGACACTGTTGTGCTCTCTTACGTTGTCTAAATGCTTTTTACTAATCTTTCTTGGCAGTCATTGTCAACTATGAATGGAACGTGCACATGCTAATGTTTAACACAAATGCTTGTTTCTTCGCCTTTAATCGTTGAACTAGTCTGGTCCTTCAATCTTCCTGACGGTGAAATTTGGTAGACCAAGTTCAGTGTTTTATGCTTTCACCAAGCTAACATTCTCTCATGTATCTCACGTTTCGTGGGTCACGTTATTAGGTTGTGGCGGTCCATCTTTCACTTTCATCTATCTGTTTACTACTCCTACGAGCATTATGATGGATTGGAGACTATACAAAAATCGAAAGCGACCTGAGAATATCATCAACGTGAAGGGTCTTCCTCTTCTGGAAAGTTGCCAGCTAACGTCTCTTTGTTCTCTTCTGTTCCCATTAATTGTTGCCTCATTAAGCTTAATACTGTGCAATGATTGTATAGAGCTCAGTTGATATATATCTACTAGCTTTTTCATTTATGATCTTCTCTAATAATAACTCATTTCCTGATATGCAAATAATTTCTTAAGAAGTGGTTACAAACAGTTTATAGTAATTTGGAAAATGACAGGTTTTGAATGATTACAGCTTGTTGTTTTGTAAACGAATCATGTGAAGCTCTTGAAAGTTGCTTGACTTTTTGTTAATAAGGAAAGCTCTGCTGTTAGCTACTTTGGCCACACATCACAGAAACAATGTTGGTAAACCTTAGAAAACTCCTGTTTTTGTCATCAACCGCTTTGTCCTCTACCATGAGCGTTTCTTTTTCTTGGAAAAAGATGATTAGTAGTTTCATAAATAATGTGTGATTTCCAATGGTTATCAATTGATTACTACCTTATATTAATCAGGAAATGTCAGATTTTTCATCCAAGAATCATCCTCTTGATTTCTTCTGTGTTGAACATGTCAATATATGGTCTGTTTTTTTTTTTTTTCTGTTAGAACTTTAGAAGGAAGTACATGAAGAACAGGGTTCATATGATATAACAGGGTTCCAACGGAGAACCGTGCAGATAACTTATTCATGACAGCATTTACCAAAAAAAGAAACATATTCTGGAGAAAAGAAAACAATGCAACTACCTACACACATGGTTTATTAAAGACAAACAACAGGCTTGATGACAGATATTGAAACCTCTCTTTGCATTACAGGATTTGGATTCTATGTGAACCATCATCATATCTTCTTATACGTTTCTTCATGAGTATTATTTGGTTTTGCTCACCTTGACTTTACTCTGGACACGACTAGCTGCACTTGTTCTTGTTCTAGCTTTGAGCTCTGACTTTTCTCCTTCGTTGCTCAATGTTTTCTCTGTGTGTTGGCGGTTTTGAATGTAGACTTGTTTAGATACGTTCTTCTTAGCTGCATGTTTGTTGATGTTCTTTGGAAGTTGATTGCTAGGTCCTGATGATGCATCAGAAGCCATTGAATCATCACTCTCCTCATCACCACCATCATCAGCCTCTTTTACCTGTGAATCATCATCAATGTCACCATCATCATCATCATCTTCATCAACAACAATAGAGGAATGGTCATTTCCACCGAATGCGTCTTCTATGTACATAGTCCACCCTGACTCACAACTGTTGTAGTCCTCCCCCTCTGAGCCTTTTGGAGACTCCATGGCTCTGAGCAACACAAAGAAGAACACAAAAATAAGGTTTCAGGTTTAGAATATATGCAAAAGATACACTTGCTTTTTAAATAAGTTACCTACCTTACTTGTTTGAATCTACTTCAGTAATTTACTCCCTGATATAGGCTCTAAGTCTCTTTCTCTCTTTGGCTTTGCTCTTCCATCATCAATAAATTTAAGTCTTTTTTTGTGTGTGTCAAATATCAAGAAAAGCAGGAGCCTATAAGAGGCCTCATATAATTGAAGAGCAGGAGTAAGTTTCACCACATGGCAACCCTAGCACCATTGTTTTCACTCACTTGAAGCACTACCAGACAAAGCCAACTGCAGATATATATATCAAGGAAGGTTAGTGCATCTCATTTTACATAAAAAAATTAAAAGCCTATGCTCTTCTTTTTCCATAAGATAACTAAATACATATATAAATCTAAACTTTTCTTGTAAACAAATATTTTGTTTTCTAATCTTATCCAGAGTCAGGACACATCAATACCCACAAAACAAGAGTCATCCTTCTGAGCTTTGTCATTAGTGATGTGTAAGCAAAGTTCATAAAATTTAACTTGTCCTTTCTGTGCTCTTCTTGATTGGTAACAAGCAAATGTTACTGCAAGTTTTAACTTCTCTCTGTACTATCTCTTATGTATCTTAAATATTAAAGAGCAGCTTCTGAGGTGGAAATCAGAAGAGACCCACCTCAACAAACAAGAAGCATTTACTTAATTAGGTTAAGTGCTGTTCCTCTTCCTCATTCCTTTAATACTCTTCTTCCTCCTACAATCCTCTCAGTGTCATTAAAACTGTTGCAGCCTTTTCTTCCCTTCTCAGTGTGTTAAAAAGGTATAAACCCAACTGGATTTTCTTTTTGTCATTTATTTTTCTTAAGATAAGAACAAAACAAAAGGAGTTTAACAACTGTCACTTGTTGAGTCCATAATACTTGTCTTCATTGCGTTTCCTGTTTCTCTGGCGTCATCTAAACATGTTCTTTAATGGACACCCTCTTGGTGACAGCTAGCAAAGTCAAGTGTGTGTGTGTGTGTGAGAGTTCATATTACATAAATTTCTTTTGGTTTTGGCTTTGACTCTTGTTTAAGTTAAACAAACATATTTAGCTTTGGGGTTTTAACTAACACATTATTTCATTATAGTTAAAAAAAAATCAATTCTGAAAGAGGGTGGTACTACATACTACAGTGGGCCTCATGAACTTGGATAGATGTGTGTAGGAATTTATAAGAGTTTGTACACATCGTTAACGTCTGAAGAGAATGGAGTTGGACTCATTGGATTTTTTATTCATGTGTGACTGTGTAATGTCATTATTATTCATACTGATTCCTTTTAAAAACTTTTGACAAGTCACACACAGAAGAGTTTGAAAGCATCATCAGAGATTCACTGGCTTCAAGTAATTGATAACGTTCGTTGGCAAGTCAGTGACGGGACTTTGTGCTGTTTGCCTCATCGATTGTTTCCTATGTACTTTGGTTGTTTGTTTACTATACATTAGATTGGCCATCTATATGTGATGTTATAAGCTATCATCTTGATTGGTTTAATGTAAAAACAATTAAAAAGTTCCCGTGTGTGGGATCAAAATAAAGGTAATTTCTTGTATCTTTTTCGAGAAATAATAATAAAAAGGAGTTAATAAAAAAAAAAAAAAAAAAAAAAACAATTAAAAAGGAGTTTTGATAAGAGAAAAGAGAAGTTGTCGGCTCCCTCCTGAAGAAATAATATATAGTATGTAAATTTGTTAGGAATAATCACAATCCGACATTCTTTGGTTACGTATTTGTACTCACTCTCACAGCTGTACCCATTTTCACCAACCAACTCAATCTTTCTTTTCTTCTTTTAAAAAGATTGGTTTATTTCTACTTACTTCTAAATATTCCAATAAACAAAACAATTTCGCCAACTCTATCCCTTATTATCTACCAACTTTATATAGAATAATGCTCTCTGAGTCTGAGACAACGGTGGTCAAATATCACTGTACTGATGATGTTAAACCGATGTCGGTCCAACGGTTTGCTTTGGTTCCTGATGGCTTGCTTGACTTTAACAAGGTTGGATCCCGGTTAAGTCTTCTTTTCCCTGATGCATTCTCTTGCAAAAGTAAAGTCAAGTCAAGTGGATACTCTTTTTCTTTCTCCTATGGGGTTGACTTGGACAAAGACGAAGAACAAGAAGTGAAACACACACAGAACAAGAACTAGATGGATCTCAAAATCTTGAATTGGGATTGGGATCAAGAATCTTACCCATCTTCTTCTGATTTCTTGGTCCTCATCTTCTTCTCTCCCTTCTTCCTTTTTCTCCGATTTATTCTCGACAAATCCATATTCGAGGTAAGTAACCCACTATTCTCTGTTTGTTTTAGTGTTCATCATGACTTGGGAAGCAAGTAACCTCTTAGAGATTCATAACCACGTTATAGAGAGCTGCTAGAAGAGTGGTGTTTCCTAGGAGAAACTGTGTTGGTTCAAACGATAGAAGAAAGAGGATAGTGAAATTCAAAGAATCAGCTTGGAAATGTCTCTGCTCTTCCTCTATCGAAATACTTGCTCTCTACGTCACTTATAAGGAGCCATGGTTTAAAGACACAAGATGGTTCTGGTTAGGACCAGGAGACCAGATATGGCCTGACCAAAAAATAAAGTAAGATTCAAGAATATGCTTGATTCAATGTGTTACGTCAGACGCAAGTATGCCGCTAACCCTAATTTCTTATGAGTAATAATATATATTTTACAGGTTGAAAATGAAGGGACTGTACATGTTTGTCGGTGGGTTGAATGTATATTCTTTCTTTGCTTTGTTCTTTTGGGAAACAAGAAGATCTGATTTCAAAGTCATGATAGTTCATCATATTGTAACTTCATTCCTCATCATCTTGTCTTACGTTTTCAGGTACTCCTAATGTTTAAAAGATTTCAAAACATTTAACATTTAACGAGACTTTTAAATTTCACTTCTCTTGTTATATTTTTCTATACTAGATTTGCTCGTATAGGTTCTGTAATATTGGCTCTTCATGAGATCAGCGACGTGTTTCTAGAGATAGGCAAGATGTGCAAATACAGCGGCTTAGAAGCCATGACTAGTGTCTCGTTCATCCTATTTTTCGTGTCGTGGACAGCTCTTCGACTTGTCTTTTACCCTCTATGGATTCTTTGGAGTACGAGGTTTAGACCATAAACTTAAATTAAACACTGATCTTTATGTTTTTTTTTTTTATGGTTGCTCTTCTCCACGTATGATACTTAACCTATGCAGTTATGAATCTATAAACGTGAAACTGGAGTGGGACAAGAAGCATACGATGGAAACTGGACTGCCTCTTAGAGTGTACTACGTTTTCAACACACTTCTATGGTGCTTACAGATTCTTCACATCTACTGGTGGGTTTTGATATGTCGTGTGCTCATCAACCAAATCCGTTCAAAAGGCAAAATCGATAGAGATGTGCGTTCTGGTAAGATTCATATATGTGCATACATTTATCTAAACCAACAAGTGCTTAAATAATGTTCTAAAAAATCTATACGACCATTTGTTTTTCAATATATTCTTTGCAGACTCTGAAGGTGAAGATGATGAACACCAAGATTGATCAGTTTGAAGCATACAAACATTGTTTTGCGTATACCACAATTAAAAAAAAAAAGAATTAAGAAGAAAACACAAGAAAAATGATACAAGGAGAATGAATCAAACACTAAACCCAACCGAACTCGGTTAAGAAGAAAGCCTAGACAATGACAACGTTGTACACTGGAATTATTTATCCACCAAATAGTGACCCAATGATTGAAATACACAACTGAACTCGATTTTTTAATGTCGTATATTTTCAAAGTATCTTCTATTTATCAATTAAGATTAATGTTATATCGTTTTTAGAGTTTTGAATAAAAGATGTATTTTCATCTAAGGGATTCTTATATTTATTTATAGGGGTGGGTGTTCGGGTATCCATTCGAGTTCGGTTCTGACTATTCGAATTTCAAGTTTTTGGGATAAGAGATTTCAGCCCCATTCGGATATTTATAAATTCTAATTCGGATTCAGGTCGGATCTTTACGAGTTCGGTTTGAGTTCGGATAATCCGTTTAAATTATTTGTAAAATTTTAAAATTTATATATATTTTAAAATTTTAAAATCTAAAAAAATAAAAATGATGTATAACATATAAATCTGAGTAATATATTCTAAGATACCTTAACTTAACATAAAATTTGTTTTTTAAATATTTACTTTTAACTATTTGTATATATTTTCAAATATATTTGGACAACCTCAAAATATCTAATACATTTTTTATATTAGTTCGATATTATATTCAAATGTATAAATCTTATTTGGATCTTTTCGGATACCCGAAATATTTCAGTTTGGACCGGATTCGGTTTTGATTCTTTAAATATCACAATTTTGAATTCATTCAGATACTATTTTTTCGGATTAAATTCGGGTTTTTTTTTCCGGTTTCGATTTTTTGTCCATCTCTATATGTATGTGTGTTTTAGTATTAATGTGTACTTACTTATGATAAACTAAAGGTTCGTGAAGGGTGCATGTGAATGTTAGTCAGAGAAACTATATTCGACTCAACATGTGGATCCTATTCATTTTGGCATCAATTTACATAAAAATCACAAGCGTACTACTCCTTATCTCTTGCATTTTTTTCTACAATATTGTATTGAGATCAATACATTTATAAAAGATTTTTTGTAGAACAAACTACAAGGGAGAATCTTGTAGAACAAAATACAAGGAATATTACCAAAATACAATATTGGTTATATTTATGACTCAGAAAAGACATTAATTGTTGTTTGATTTGTTATCTTCATCTTACCAACTCGGGAGGATCATTGGCCATATGAGCCGATATGAATATCAATAAATGTTGGATAAAATATCAATTATTGTGGTAGTGAAATGCGTGACCAAAATAATGGCCATTGACAATCCCAATATAATGTAAGAAATTTTCGTAGAAAATAGGTTTCTATTTTGAGTAAATGAGAATAGTGAACAAAATCTTACAAAACTATTGTTAAAAAATGTAACTACAAATTATTGTATTTGGTCCTCTCTGCCCTACGACGATAACTAAATGGAAACATATGAAGTATATACATAGCCATTTAACTAGTAGAGACACTATTACATTGTACTAAATTGATAATTTTTTTATAGCTACTACTAAGATGGGAAAATATTATTTTTTTAAAAAAAGGATGGGAATGTATCTAAGAGTAAAAAAAAAAAATAGAAAATACATCAACTAAGAAATTTATACACCATAAACAAATACTCCTTCCGTTTCAAAATATATGTCATTCTAGACTCATTTTTTTGTCACAAATTAAGTGTCGTTTTAAAATTTCGAGACAAAGTTTATTAGTTTTATATAATATTCTAATTTTCTATTGGTTGAAAAGTGGTTAGGTGTATAGGTAATTGTGTTTTTATCTTGGAAATATGTAAAATTAAATATTTCCTTAATATGTGTAGAAATCTATAATGACACTACAAGAAAACAAAGCATTTACTAGGAAATTTTACTAGGAAAATCCTTCCTCGTAAATTTACTAAGCATTTACGAGGAGATTACGAGGAAAGCAAATTTCCTCGTAAGTTCCTCGAAAACTTACGAGGAAACACTTTCCTCGTAAGACCTTAGTAGATTTACGAGGAGATTACGAGGAAAAAGTACTTTTCCTCGT